AGAACTATTATAATTCGTGCCCGAAGCCGACCATTCGGAAGGTTTCGCTCGCGGCGGCGATGCCAATGGCAAATTTCGACTCAGAGACGATTCTCTTGTCGAGGACAGGCTCGTGGCCATCTGCTGACAGTGGTGTCAAGAGGTCATGAAAACCCTTGGGAGAGGGTGGAGGTGTGCGATCGAATTGGTCTGAGGGAGACGATTCGAAGTCTGAGGTATCTTCCTGCGGGTAAGAGGATGGGGAAGATGATGCAAAAAGCTAGAGACGACAGCGAGTCCGCGGACAGCTTGTCTGGGAAGAATCCCCCTCTACGCTTGCGTCAGTTCATGCAGCGGTCACGCTGGAGGTCCACAGGGACCGGTGACCACCAGGTCGCTTAAGTCCTATAGGGATATATAGGGCGAGGAGAGAGTGAGAAAGAACGTGCACAGTTCGGTGCATTTTGGGCGAGGGTGCATCTTTTGTGTGCATCTTTGACGATCTAGCTACTGAGCTGGATTATATTTTTATCTGATTTGGCGTAACTTGCTAGGTGTTCGGCTCCAGGTGAAATGCCCTTTGAACATTTTTTTTACAGAATTCGAAACAAAAAAAATGTTAGGAACGATCAAGTGCGTTGCGATCCAGTGGGCACGACATTGAATAGTCATGAGGACAGACCAATGTCGTTAGCAATGACCAGACGGTTTTGGGCTTTAGTACGGTGAAATATACGGTGAAATATTTTAAGGTCTCGAGAGGTTTTTTTAATGTCCAAATCTACCTAGTACACGTCTGATATCTTGTTGTGGATGAGCACTTGATAATTATCGATGGACTGGCAACCCAATTTACCCAGTGACCGCTACTGAATGTCATAACCGCTGGTCTGTTGACATGGGCGTTTGCAGAGATAGTCGAACCAAAGGTCGGCGAGATCAACTCAACCAGCGACTGCTATCCCATAAAGTCGTGAGTTTCCTTATAAGACAGCAGAGTGACTAACCCACTGTTGGGATAACGTAAAAACAACCTGTGAGAATGTAAACAACCAAATGGTCGGTTGGCTCTTGTCTCGACTAGCACGATGTCCTCTGACTACTCTGAGAGTGCAAAGGCAGAATATGGTGAGCAGTTGGCGTTCAAGGGTAAATGGTCGCAGGTGTCCTCAGTTCAACCCTTACGATGGCCAGTAATGTCACGAGCAGGATCTCAGCTTATCGGTGGCTAAGACCAGCCGACGTGGGATGACACAGCATGAGATGCAGTCAATCCCAAAGGAACATTCGTTCCCTGCCCTCAGGATCAATCGACCCCATGCACGTGAGGAACACTTCACGAGTACTGGTACGTCGCTTACCGTATGCAAGAGTGGCAATGTTTACTCCTATGAGGGGTCAAACAGCACAAGCGAGACCAAGGCGTGACGGCATCTCAAGTGGTGTTCTGTGTGACTACCAAGCAACCAACCTCCCCGAGACCTTTGTCACTATTCTCGCCCCGCACACTCAATAAGTAGGGACGAAGACATCTGTCGCAGAAGTCCTGACAACAGAACAACTTACTATTTTCTTGTATAACAGAACCCTCCCGTGAGGATCCAAACGACAGGGACAGCAGTACAATTAAAATGCAACTCCTGGAAGGAACGTACTTCCTGCCCAATTTGCAACGGACAGTGAGTGAAAGACATGCGGTACGCAGTACAGGTAAACGGTAAACCGTCCAAGCTCTAATTTATTCAGAGCTCATACTCACCTTTGGTCTGGTGGGATTTATATGATTGCTTTGCTTGGTTACAAAATTATGCTCTGGTGCAGCAATGGGAGCGAAGAAGGTTGGGTGCTAACGAATGGGGAAAAATAGGCTCTCATGTAGCCATAACCGATGATTAAACACACTTTTCGTTAGAACTGGTTTAGATTTACAGAGGCAAAGACAGCCAAACGGCGTGCCATGGACAGTGGACGAGAAAATGGTCATGGTTGTAGGTAATGTCGGTCAATGGACAAATGGAAACAACCGCATTTAACATGTCGTCGCATAATTGTATCGTTTTAGAAGTTAGTTCAAAAGCACATTGGCGGTAATGCGAGTATATAGAAACAAATTGGTTCAGAACCCATAGGTGGTAATCATCATTTAGTTATAAAAAAGGGAGGAATGTGAGAAATTTGGTTTCCGGCTGCGTTGGACTGCGAAACTTTCGGAGCACTCCGAATTCCTCGGATAGACGGTGCCTGGGATAGACGGTGCAAGGCTACCTGACAGCTGACTTTTAATGACAAGCAGACGCCAGTGGTGAGTCTGTTCTGTCTCTGTCTGTCTTTCCCTACCTCCCCCCTCTCTCTCTCTCTCTCTTTCTTTCTTTCTCTCTCTCTCCCTCCCTCCCTCTCTCTCTCTCTCTCTCTCTCTCTCTCTCTCTCTCTCTCTCTCTCTCTCTCTCTCTCCCTCTCCTCCCTCCCCATGCATACATTATGGTGCGCGCGGCTCGGGACAGCCGACGCCCGGCAGGCTCTGCTCTGAAGGACGCCGTGTCCTAAATATGAGGCTATTATGTATGCGTGCCAGCGCGGCGACGCCATGAATGCTTTTAGTGCGTTTGTCGTAACCTTGTGGAACAAATAATGATTTAACGTTATCTTTGGAGCGATTTTAGACTTAATTCCTACATACTTCTAAAAGTACCGCAGCTTGCAATAAATTTGGTAGAATTATGAGACGTGGGGATCGGGGAAGGGTGACTTTACTCCTATTCACAGTACTAGCACAGGCGCACGGAGCCCTGCATTCTGCAATGACATGCAGGCAATGAACGTTGGAGTCGAGCCGTGACGCTCGAACCAATGGGCGACCAGCCGGAGATGCGCTCAGGTTTTGCTCTTCACCCTGGAAGGAGATGGACGGTGCAATGGTGGTCCGTCATCGATTACGACCAGTCCAGATCTACATATGTACATATGCTGGGTGCATCAGCTCAGGCGTCGGGTGTGGCAATGATTAAGCGCCACCTTCCAACGGTAACATCGTCTAATTCAATCATCTCTCAACTTCTGTCAGTTTCGTCCATGACATCCAGTCAGGTGATAAAAGAGCAGTGGACAGTATCAACGGACAGGTGGTAACTGGTTAACCTTTCGCGAGTCGCGATGGAGGCGCGACAGGGGTGACATATCGTGCATATCTTGCGATGGAGACGTAACAGTGACGGGATACCGGGCAGTGTTGCCAATCGGGTCTAGCAAGACCTGGTGGAAATGTGAAGGCAAAAGGTAAAAGGTCGTCAATCTTTACGGCGTTGGTAAATATATATAGGTAAAACGGTGTGATAGTGATTAGATATTAGATAGACTTTTTAACGAGTTCTACGAGCGGTTTTAGGAATATCTATAACTGGAATGAATGACATGTTATCTACGAAAGCGTAACATGGCTGAAGGTGGTAGTTGATCGGCGAACTAATCTGTTCTCCATTCCCTATGTATATAGTGTGGAAAACTTCGTGACCGGCCGTCCTCACATCGCCACTCCGAGCAGCGGAGCCGCCCGGACTCGGAGAGCGCGGCCAAGGTTGCGTCGGCCTGACGGCAACGCCGGAGGCATAGACACGGCACGACGGAGCTGCACCTCTGGACCAGTCGACCACCGAAGACAGCGCGAACCAAGGCCAAGAGAACACGGCGGCCGGACGACGGTGCCCGAGGCAGGAGTGTGCCGCCCGGCCCGAGCGGTGGGGCGTGTGACGTCACGAGGCGCGCCCGGGGTGGGGACTGCGTCGGGGCTGGGCTGCTAAGAGCCTGAGGCTACCCGGCCCCTGGTCCACTCGTCGACGACAAGATGGCGGTGCCGTGTAGCTCCTCCTCCCGACGGAGGGCTGGGGAGGAGGCGAGGTTGGCCGTGACCGAGTGATATAAAAAGCGTGTGTTCGGGAGTTCGGGGCTTCACTTCCTTTCTCTTGGGAGCTCTCGCTCATTCGTGGTGGTGACGCCGCTCGCGGCTGACGTCTCGACACTTCTCTCACAATGTAAGTACCTGGGGCCTATCTTCCACCCAGTTGGAGGTCTCTGACTGAATTCTTGCACTGCCCTAGTCGCGCCCTTGGCTAGCTAACCGGCGGAGCGAGAGGGTTTGAGCCTGACTTCGGATCAAGACTCGGCTGTGGTCGGAGATATGTCTCAGGCACAGACACACACATATACACACACTGGCGTTGATAACAGTAATTTAAGATTTGGCCGCGGTACTGTGAACTGGGAACTGTGACAAGAGCGACAGGTTGGTTTACATGTCACTGTGAGTCGTGACTGTGAGACACGGTCTTTGGGACTTGACTCATTCCATTTCGGCTCTTCCGCTTGACTTATTTGGCTACTATATGAGTCAGTCCCACCCCTTTGGCAATATCGAATCGGTGTTATGATTTGGCTTGGTCATTGTTTCGGTTTTTGTTTCGGCACTTTGGCTATATTCACTTTAGCAGTGCACGGTTACCGTGACATTGCCCGTTTTCTGGCTCTTTTTGTTTGAATTGTTCGCTTTTATTTATTTCGGCCTTTTCAATTACAATATATATTTAATATGTATACCTTCTACGTTCTTTCTCGAGGTTGGAAATGATTGTGGAAACGCTGGCAATATGATGATTCGGACACGAACGGGTTTGTGGGACACATGGTTTTTGGTCGATCAGAATACCCCTAGACAACGGCTAAAGGATTGTTGAGTGTTAAGACGATACCCCTAGACAACGATGAGTAGGATTGTGCAGATGACACAGATTAGAATACCCCTAGACACACGAGGAATATTAGCAGAAGCTACCACAACAGCCAGTAGGCGGGCCTGAATCCATCCTTTCACCCATCCTTTACCCACTCTACATCCTCATCCTTCTCCCAGTCATCCTTATCCTTGTCCCCATCCCAAACACTACTTATAAATTCACATCTGCCAGAAGCTACCCGAGACTTCAATGTCGTCCATTTCCTTGTTTCGGACACCCTGTATCTTTCTTCGGTAGAACCGTTTCGACGGCCTGTGGCGGCGCCACCAGATCTACACCAGCGGCGAGGAGCTGATCGGACTGGAGCACAAGGAGTACCCCATCCTCGGGCAGATCAAAAAGGAGCTCAACCTGCTCCAGAAACTGTACAGGTGGGACCAGGCGCTGACAATTGTCCGACTGATAACGATAGTCCGTGAAAGATTCATGTGCTTTACGCGGCATTTCCGTAAAACGCTAGAAAGTGCTGCTTACCTGAAAGTGCTGTATAAACCCGTCTGCCATGAAAATTTAACAACCGCCGTTTTTATTGTCAGTTGTGTTCTGGTGATGTCGAGATGATGAGATTTTGGTGGTGTGTGAGATTAATGAATGCATGCTGGCCACGTCGAAGAGTTTCGAAGTTCTGAAGAAAAAAAATATTGATATTGGCACCAGCTACTGCAATGCCATTAGAGCGTCATCCTCACACCCTGTCCGTGCCAATAACAAACCAACCTTCTATTTTCAGACTATATAACGAGGTGATTGACCGAGTAAGCAGCTACTACGAGATCCTCTGGGAGGAGGTCAACATCGAGGATATCAACAATGAGCTCATGGAGTTCCAAAACAGGTTCGATATTGACATAAGGCGTGACTTGGACCTCGAATCAACGGTTCAATTAGTCAAATCAAGGAGCCGCGTCAACCAGATGGAATCACTACCTGACAACTGTCTAAAAATTGATATAATTTAAATCGTATGACCTTGCGAGCCTTTGACCACTTTCAAATACAGCTGCAAACATTGTTCAAATTTGCATAATCCGTTAGCATGTATGCAATTATACTGAATGCCGGTACAACTGCCGATAGGTTTTTCACGCTTCGTAACACTCACGCCCACAGATGTCGGAAGCTGCCCAAGGGCCTGAAGGAGTGGCCGGCGTTTAACGCGCTGAAGAAAACAATCGATGACTTCAACGACATGTGTCCGCTGATCGAGCTGATGGCCAACAAGGCGATGAAGCCGCGTCACTGGCAGCGTCTCTCGGAGGTCTCCAAGTACCAGTACAATGTGGAGAGCGACGGCTTCTGCCTCAAGGACATCCTGATGGCGCCGCTGCTGCAGTACAAGGAGGACATCGAGGTGCGTCCTTCGACTGATGACTGATTATTTTTGTTGGAACATTTGAGATGCCCTCATCGTGCATCATGAAGAAACAAATTCAAGCCACCCAAACTTAGTTCGGTATTTACTGCATGGGATCAAGAAATTACGGCAATTTTCCGTTAAGCATGTCTGATTCAGCGCTCTACATCCATCGATTTTATGGGATTTTATATCGATTTTATATGTGTATCCGTCCAATAGGTTACGCTCTCCTCCCTCTAACCTCTAACCCTCTCCCCGCGGTCGACAGGACATCTGCATCTCGGCGGTGAAGGAGCGCGACATCGAGGCCAAGCTGCGTCAGGTCACCACCGAGTGGTCTGCCCAGGAGCTCAGCTTCATGACGTTCAAAAGTCGCGGCGAGCTGCTGCTGAGGGGCGATAACACGGCGGAGATTATCGGTCAGCTCGAGGACAGTCTGATGGTGCTCGGATCGCTGCTCTCCAACAGGTGATACTGAGTTGTGTGGGACGGGTGAATCCGCCCCAGGGCGGTGCTCCGTCTCTGAATGATAAAAATCCTATCACCACTTTGTTTCGCATGACGTGTCAATACAGATGTGCTGAACCACATCCAGTTCATGAGCTTCCATTTTGGCTCCTAAATCCGGAGCTAGGTTTGTGCTTCACCATCTCATCAAAGTGTTTCGACCGCAGGTACAATGCGCCGTTCCGTAAGCAGATTCAGAACTGGCTGGCCGACCTGTCGAACACGAACGAGGTTCTGGAGCGGTGGCTGTTCGTGCAAAACCTCTGGGTCTACCTGGAAGCGGTGTTTGTTGGGGGTGACATCGCCAAACAGCTGCCCAAAGAGGCCAAACGGTGAGCGCGGCTCCGGAAGGACCTGGGTGTCAGTGTCAGTGTGTCCTCATTGAGGACAATGAGTGTCCTCATTGAGGAGTCACTCCTCAAAACGGACAGTTCAAACAGGCTTCCGGTATGCACTGCAGTGTGGATACCGTTGGAATTTTGAGGGACTTTCCGCTTAGTTTAGCCAGCCGCGTGCGTCTATATATTGTGGCTTCAAGGCTAATTAGTGGAGCTATTACAGCGGGGTCTAATTTAACTTGTGATTATTCCAGCTTCGGGTTCCACTTAACACGCAAATTCATTCGTTACATGATTTGTAATTCAACTTTTATGAATTTTACCGTCTGCATACCGTCTAGGACAGGTGCCATGTTTCGTTTGAATCTCGTGTTCCACACAATAGTAGGAGCATTTTGATGGATCGGAGTTGACGATGCTGCGTTGCGTTTGCAGGTTCTACATAATCGACCGTTCGTGGCAGCGGATCATGCACCGGGCGCACGAGGTGCCGAACGTGGTCAGCTGCTGCGTGGGAGAGGAGTCGCTGAAGCAGCAGCTGCCGCACCTGCAGGAGCAGCTCGAGCTCTGTCAAAAGTCCCTCTCAGGGTCAGTCTTTGTCACTGTTGGCGTTTTTTTTTTTATAGCCGTTGTATGGAATATGAATGAATGTCACATGAGAAATATGGGCTTAATTGCTGGTATTTGAGGCTGGATGACAACCTTACAGTTTTCCTTTGTATTGTATTTACCCGCTTTGTCATCCATTTGCATTTGGTTTTGTTTTGTTGGGCCGCCCGCATGGGCTAAAGCTACCTGTCCAGCCCGGACCCAAGGGTTGCGGAGTGGGGTTGCGGAGGACTTGACTATCCTGAGTATGGAAACGACTAAACGGGTGATTGTCATCCATTACCGTCAACACTCAACTTTTAACTTTCCATTGTTTCCATCTCTCCAGCTATCTGGAGAAGAAGCGCGTGCTGTTTCCTCGTTTTTTCTTCGTCTCGGACCCGGCCCTGCTGGAGATCCTCGGCCAGGCCTCCGACTCTCACACCATCCAGAGCCACCTAATGAGCATCTTTGACAACACAAAGTCGGTCAAGTTCCACGACTCAGACTACGATAAAATACTGGCCGTCATCTCCAGCGAGGGAGAGACGATCCACGTGAGTGGCTCCAGGGCAATTTGGGAGGGGGGGGGGGGGCTTGGGAGTGTCGGACATCAGAAAACGGAGTGTTCAAATGACTGTGCTAGCAGAAACAATCGTTAGTGCATTGGTCTTCAAAATTAAGTGATAGTTTAGTGATTAAATTAAGGTCTAGCTGTGTGATTTGCCAGCCTCAATTAACTCGGTACGTAACGGTCATTTTTATTGGAAACATTTTAGGAGCTAGACGACTAGACGGAGTCGAATTCGGAGTCGACACGAAAGATCCATCGACTCTGTAGTCCTGTTTCCCGTGGCTCGAGACATCTTTTAGGAGCTCGTCAAAAAGGCACGTCGATTGTGCACCTATCCTTCTTTTTAAATCGTCACATTATTTCTGCATATCCACCCTTGTGTTTGGCTCTTGCATGACCCGTCCCCGGACCCTCTCGCCTCCGTCTGCGGCAGCTGGAGAAGCCGGTCCGGGCCGATGGTAGCGTCGAGGTGTGGCTGATGAGTCTGCTGAAGATGGCCCAGCAGTCGCTTCACGCCATCATACGACAGGCGCACTTTGTCCTGCAGGACGCCACCATCAACGTGCTTAACTTCCTGGACAGCTTCCCGGCCCAGGTGAGGGACGCACAGAGCTCGGACTCTTGATGTTTTCTTCTAGGAGCTACTTCATTGCTCTATCGGTAGCATAACATTATCTTCATCGGGTTTCCTGAGGTATAGGAAAAATGGCATGTCTAGCGTGTTTCCTCGGAGCGTGAAACTGAAATGCACATTATCACGTCACGGCAAGGAGTCATGAACCACATGTTTGGCGTGGGTTTAATACGTTTTATTGGCCCCCAAAGCCGACATTTGTTAGTTGCTGGGATTTGCGGTAGATTGTGAAACAGCTGATAAATCAGCAGCGTCACATCAGCTTGCAAGTCGTTGTATCGGACGAATCAGTTGAATGGTGTTTCAGGTGGGCATCCTGGGAATCCAGATGATCTGGACCCGGGACGCCGAGATGGCGCTGGGCCAGGCCCGGTTCGACCGGAAAATCATGTCCGACACCAACAACAGGTGGGCCAGGCTCGGAATTCACCGACCGATTTATATATGGCTATTGATCGTAAGGTGCTTCAGATTCCTGTGCAGTTCTCTTTTCGTTACCGGAAGCCAATAAATTGATTTAGAGAGTAACAACATTTCGCATAATATTTGAAATTAAAAAATGAGCTTCTTTGAATGAAGAGACGAGACTTTGAAGAAATGAGACTCTGGCGATGTGTTCCAGGAGAAAAATGCGTTAAGTCACGATTATCTAAAAGCTAATCAATTTACCTTCCGAGGAATCCATTCGTGCCTATTACGGTTCTCGCCATCATTCTGTGAGCCCTATTCCGTGCTGCAGGTTCTTGGAGCTGCTGAATCTCCTGATTGACCGGACGGCGGCCGACCTGACGCGCATGGAACGGACCAAGTACGAGACGCTCGTCACCGTGCACGTCCACCAGAGGGACATCTTCGACCACATGGTCAGTTCGTACAGACGGAAACCATGCTCAACAGCTGCACTGGTGGAATTGTTAAACGACCTTTTATCTTACTTATCATGTTGATAAACGTTTACTTGATAAACAGACATAACCCTAAGCAGGCTGCTTGTATAATTGATTAAAAGATGAAATAAATCACAGTGACAGTCAGCCGCGCCACGCAGTTATGGTCACTTTGCTGGTCAGTGGTTAATGATGCTGGTAGGAATTAACCTTATCCATTCGCTGCACCAATATTGACAGTGCCTGCACACCTCCCGCCTTCTACACAGTGCCGACTGCAGGTGAAGGCGGTCACGGACTTTGAGTGGCTGAAGCAGTGCCGGTTCTACTTCAAAGACGACCTGGACCAGACCAGGATCTCCATTACCGACGTACACTTTGTTTACCAGAACGAGTTTCTGGGCTGCACGGAGCGACTGGTGATCACGCCGCTTACAGACAGGTGAGGGCCGCGTGTACTATAGCTGTGATGCCTAACTATGTCTCGGTGCTGCAAAGGCCCGTCTGCTGAGGTCTAACGACGATTCTTTGGTCAACTCGCGCTAGCATATCCACTCTTTTTACGTACGTTAAAGCCAGATCCATCATCGCCTCGGTCTAGCCGAACCCCTGACTGTCGCCCCCCCCCCCCCCCCCTCTCCTGTCCAGGTGCTACATCACCCTGGCTCAGGCGCTGCACATGTCCATGGGCGGCTGTCCGAACGGCCCGGCCGGCACCGGCAAGACCGAGACGGTCAAGGATATGGGCAAGACGCTCGGCAAGTACGTAGTCGTCTTCAACTGCTCGGACCAGATGGACTTCCGCGGCCTGGGGCGCATCTACAAAGGCGAGTGGGCCTCAAACGCGACGCCCGGCGTTTGTTGTTACTGTCATGGTCTTCGTGCTGTATTATTTTTTTTGTGATAGTCGTAATCGTAGAGTGGAGTCTCGTCAAACGAGTGCGGTCAGAGACAGGAACCACGTAGAAAACACCGACAGAGAAAACACACGAGGTAATATTTCAAACGACACCCGTTATCAGCTACGTACTCGGGCCAAGTAGTCCGTAGGACTGCGGCACTGCGAAACCGGGCGGATACCCGGTTGGAATACGGATTCCGCGCGTTTGACACATGTTTACAGTACACATGTTTATAGTACTGAGATTACGGAGGCATGTAGGTACCATGATCATCACTTGGAGCTCTTTCTGGCACCAGTAACATCCATCAGCACTCCTCTTTCCCACACGGAGACTTAAATGGAAACTGAGAAACAGCATCCATCCTTCACCATTTCCTATTCATGCGATTCAATCAGCGGTTGCTTTCGAAGTACATGTAGTCGACGAGGAACAGCGCGCCGAGCAGGAGCGCCTTCAGCTCGGCGTCGAGTCCGACGGGGAAGGTGAGCTCCAGCGTGTCGGCGTCGGTGAGCAGCTCGCGCGCCAGGCCGCCCCACTGTTTGGTGATGGTGCCCAGCTGCTGGGATCCGTCGGCCGACTCCACTGTGAACTTTACGTCCCGGCAGAGCGCCAGAGGGCAGCGGGGGCCGCGCACGGTCAGCGCCAGCTCGCCGTCCGGCCGGTGGAGGGTGAGGTGGGGCCGCAGACAGGCGCGCTGCTCAGTGACGGCGCCCAGCGGCCGGCCGTCTGCGGCGCTCACCTCCAGCCGCTGCATGCAGCACGGGCTGCAGCAGCCGGTACAGCGCAGCGGCCGCCGCAGGTGCAGCACCTCGCGCCGCTGTTCGTCCAGCACCAGCAGCTGCAGCGCGCGCAGCGGGCCGCAGCACATGCGCAGCCAGCAGCTGCTCCGCTCGGCGGCGCGGAACAGCGGCGCAGCGCCCTCGGCAGTGTGCACCGTGTAGCGGTTGTTGGTCTCCCAGCCGGTGACGGCCTCCCAGAGCTCCAGCTGCTGCTTCACTAGTAGACGGTCCAGCGGCACGAGCGGCTCCAGGCCGGGCGGCGCGGCCGGCGGACGGCCGAACCCATCCGACATCGGGCCGGCGTCTTCTGTCGCACCGGGCTGTAAGACCGGCCGAGTCCGAATACAACGGGTGACTCCGAGCAGCTCTGCTCGCGGTCCTGCTACACTGGCTCCGTTCTTTGGCACTTGCTGATTTCTTTCAGAGGGACCTCGTTTTCGGGGAATCTTCTGGATTTTTCCCAATGGTTCAATGAGTCATTTAATACTATCTGGTCTAGTTCTCATTGACTTACTAACTTGGTTTTATTGACTCGCTGACTTCGATCTGACAGATTCACTGCACCGATTGGCGATTTCGCCAACACTGAGCCGCTAAATGCAACGCGAAACTCCAACACTGCTCCAACCTGCATCACCAACGGCAATGACGGTCAATGGTCGTGGGCCGGTGATCTTGGCTTTGCCTTGATGAAATATTGGCCAATCGGTCCGGTCAAATGTTTCAAATTAGGTCAATAAACAAATTAAATTTTAATACTGCACGCATGCAGCTATTCTTCGAGCGGGTCTTCTAACTTCGAACTTTCCAAGCAAACTATCGGGTATCATTGTCGATCCAGTCTTGACGAACATCACAAGCTTGAAGCTACATTTATACGCTACCGCTACGCTGCCATGATTTTCTCACTGGTAGCAACCTATTATTTCGTGACATATGATGAGGATAATACATAAAGACGTGTGCCCGAGAACCAAAGACGAACGACTGAACAAAGTAGCGTGTGAAAAGATGAGGTCCCGCCGAGATTTGAACTCGGATCGCAGGATTCAGAGTCCTGAGTGCTGACCGTTACACCACGGGGCCGATGGCAGTTGGTTCTTTAGAGGTCATCAAATCTAACTTGGATTGTAGGTAACTGATGTATGTCTGATGGATATCGCATTTCTAGAATATATTTTTTTTTTGCGTTATCTTAAAGACCATTTGTTGTAACTGCGCATTCCTGTTTATATTCTTGAGAGCTTCACCTGTTTATGATCTGGTGCTTTGGTTGCACCTTTTGTGGGTAGATGTCGCCCTTGTACGACAACTCGCAGATGGCAGCACTATCGACGTCAAATCGTGGCAAGAACCCGAGCCCCAGGCAGCAGTCAAGTCTTGAGAAACTAGCAAGGCTTCTTAGTCACCCCTCCGTCGTTTCCATCCTCAGGATGTTCAAATCCTCTTCCACGCCGCAACCCTCGTTCTGGGCTGGACAGGCAACTTTATCTCATGCGGGCTGCTCCCTTGGAGCGGCACTGCTGCTCCCAAGAGCGCACCCGTAGCCCGGGGTGCAGAGAGTACCTACTTGAGGGGCTGGTCGGCCTGTCCATTCGGACGAGCTCAGCCCTGGCGACTCTCTACGGTGTGTGCCCAGACCAATGTCTCCCCTTCATTCCTATCATCCTTCCGGCTCTGAAATGGTCTTGTCAGAATGAAAGGCCTAACCCAACAAAACAAACACACAAACAAAAGCTTCTTAGTATGCGATTTGGTATCATTATATATGCACTGCTGGTGTCATGTTATCCCTCATGCGTTCCTCAGTATGTTCTGCTAAGGCCTGGGTCGCGCTCACACGGCGATGGAACGCTCAGACTTCTGCTGTGCGCCGCTGACTGACACCTCTGTCCCTCCGCCCCGGCAGGTCTGTGCCAGTCCGGCTCGTGGGGATGCTTCGACGAGTTTAACCGGATCCAGCTGCCGGTGCTGTCTGTGGCCGCCCAGCAGGTGGCCGTCATACTCAACGCCAAAAAGGAGCACAAGAGACACTTTGTCTTCACCGACGGCGACGAGATCTCCATGAACCACGAGTTCGGCATCTTCTTGACCATGGTATGTTCGCACATCAACTGTGAAAAGTTAGCCAGCTGTGGTCTGTGTGTGACTATATCCCACGAGTGTTGGCACCTCACCTTCCATGCACGTCTCCCGTCCGTCCACCGCTGCTGACGCAGAGTCCCAGCTGTTCATCATTGTTTCAGTTTACACGCCGCCCTGATATCTGAGCTCCTTCACGCCTGACAACGCACAAAATCCCAGCTATGTCGACTTCTGTCATCCCACAGGGTAACTAGTGACATATTCTGACTCATCTCCACAGAACCCCAGTTACGCCGGTCGTCAGGAGCTGCCGGAGAACCTCAAGATCCAGTTCCGGAATGTGGCGATGATGGTGCCCGACCGTCAGATCATCATCCGCGTCAAGCTGGCCTCCTGCGGCTTCCTGGAGAACATCACGCTGGCCAGGAAGTTTTTCACGCTCTACAAACTGTGCGAGGAGCAGCTCACCAAACAGGTGCGATATGTGAATGTTATACTTCAGCCAATAAAGTTTGGAGTGATGCCTTGAATCGGAGATGGATAATTATAAATGTGAATATACAATATACATCTACTCGAGTGGAGAGAGCGTCGCCGTCGTCAGCTCGCCGATCAGCCTCATTGTACGCTTTTCAGGGTTACATAAAACGGATGCATCTTTGCTACCGAGTGCATAATGCGTCCCAGTAAGATAATTATTTGCCGGGTACCAAATGGGAGATTATGCAATGCTACATATATGTTATAAGTGGCGCTAACCCGCATGTCACCGAGCTCCACAATCCATGTCTAGTGGTGGCTGACGAAAGTGAAGATTAGATGTCTTGGTGTAGCTTCTCCTATATTATCCCCAATCCATTTTACGCCTCTGTGTCCAGGTGCATTACGATTTCGGCCTGCGTAACATCCTATCCGTGCTGCGAACGCTGGGAGCTGCCAAACGGAAAAACTCCAAGGACTCTGAGTCGACGATCGTGATGAGGGTGCTGCGAGATATGAACCTCTCCAAACTGATCGGTAAGCGTCGTATGAGCGGTCAGTGTCGAGTATGACGTCTTGTCGGTCAAGTAGTTCGGTCAGTGTCGGTATGTTGGTCTGTTAGGTCAGTGCGACTTCGGCTGGTCAGTATGTAGTTAGTGGAAGTGGAATGGTGTGAGATATAAGTAAAAAGGAGAGATGCCTTTTAGTTAGCAAAGTGACTGCTTACTTATTTTAGTTGCACTTTTCATGCATAAGACGTCTTCTCTAAATTGCTCATGCACAGCTTATTTTTCCATTCAATCGCCAATGTTGAATTCAGGTGACCTGACCAACCGAAGTGAGTTAGGCCAACACTCACACCCACACCATGAACCCGTCGACATCTCTCCCACCTCTCACGCCTTGCAGACGAGGACGAGCCTCTGTTCCTGTCTCTAATCAACGACCTGTTCCCGAACATGGCGCTGGAGAAGGCCGGCTACCCGGACCTGGAGACGGCCATCGCTAACGAGACAGCACGCGAGGGACTCGTGGCGCACCCGCCCTGGACGCTCAAACTCATCCAGGTGAGCATCGGGAATGATGGGATTGGGCTGTCTGACGCCGGCTACGTCTGTTACTCAATGCGTGCTTTTTGGATGTGCATTTGTGTACGCCGTACGGGAACGTAGGGAAGGATCAGTTTACATAGTTGTAGATGTCGCGGCGAGCGCTAGCGAGCTAGATGACGCTGCAGGCAAAGGGTAGGCATTTTGTCGGATGGGTGGGGTGGAGTGGCACTAAAATACAGTTTACTGGTTGATATTTCGTCATTATATTATATTTATTGAATATCGCGACTATTAAAGGGACCATCCCACCTTAACATTAGTTTTGAGTTGAGATAGCCAAGTTTGCGGCCAGGCTCAGAAACCACCATTTATCCTGGTCGCAACCCCCGTAGCTTTATGGTGTTCAAGAAATTTCTTCCCTTTACTTGCAGGGTGGGACCAGCTTAGTCCCTATCTCTTAACCATTAGCGGTTTTTTGATGACGTCAGCAGTCATTTCAACGCCCGCCATTCCTTGAACCCGAGTTTTGCTGACCTTGAGCTCCCTTTTTTATCAACGTGAAATCCGTCGTCGGCGCTGAGAAAGCCTATTGCTTTTCATTTTAATTTGAATATTAGAAGATACCCACCACTGGAACTTGGACTGATATTATACCAAGGCCGAAGATGATCAAGCTGCCTGCTATATCTGGAGCTTGGTGTTCAACTTCAACATGGAATAAAAAACAAAATATCAAAGCAAACTGGATATGGTACTGCAAGTTAAAGTCCAAAGAAATTTGAAGAGCTGACAATTGACATTAATAATTTTCCTGCAAGGTTTCCATATGGAGATCACAGTCACACCATGAAGAAATATTTTTGATGTTAACAGTTGAAAGGGGATTTATCTTCCAGTTTTGACGAAAGACGCTGCTGACTGTCTTTGGAAAAGGATGTCGGCATGAGGTGTAATTGTGCTTGTGAAGTGGTTATAACTGGTCTTTTCACAGTATTAAATTAAATGTGCCATTGCAGCCAAGTGTGTTATCATGTAAGGTAAAATCAAAACTACAATGTTGGTTTTACGAGCATTGAGAAGGCTGGTAGGTAACACCTGCCTGTGCTCGTAAATCATGCTGCCAGAGTATTCTAAATTAATTTTATCATACACTTTTGTTGTCCAGAATGGTTGCACTATTGTTTGGTATCATATTACTCCATGTAAATATGGTAGTGTAAAGTCTGACCAACATGTTACCAGATTTGAAGCTGTTACGTTACCTAAGTACCTGTTTTTTACTGGCGTGGTGAATGTCACCTGGATTTTGTTTTGAGGTGCAGACCTAGTAACTCTGACTACATGGGTTTGAAGCTATTATCTATTCTGTTTTTACTGGCCTGGTGAATGGCGACTGATGTTGTCCGTGGATGGCACTGAAACAAATTTTGAGTGTTTTGTACAGTGTTTTAATACAATGCTGAGGGCTGAAAGTTGTCTTGTTTAGAGTGGTGAAAGTTCAGGATATGCCAGCCACCATGGTGGGTCAGAGTTAAATGTGTTGCAGTCAGTTCGGCTTCGGCAAGCACACGGATGGGCATACGCATCAAGACCTGCTCTGCCATACTTTCAGCCAATTTTACCTAGGTAAGTCTTTTCTTTTTTCTGCCAAAAGCTATGACATTGTGAATTTCAGCACTGTGGCCTGTGTGTAGCTTTCAGGAAAGCAATTCTAAATAAAGCTCTGATAAAGTGCAAAATCAGCAATGCAGCCTCTATTACATTTTCTACAACATCTTACTTGTTCCTTGCATGGAGAGAAAAATGCAATGTTATGAATTCGTTTATTCACATAATTTGACAAGCATGCAGTTACCTGCTACTATCACTGCACAAAACAGAGCAGAAAACATCAGTTGATCAAACACAAGACATAACAGAAGTTTACAACATAGGGCTCCCGAACCTGCTTCCTCCCACCACAGTTGATGCCATTTCCTAGCTTGGCTTGATGTGAGCACTGAATAGCTGCTTTGTCTAATTACAGCTCACTACCATTCAACTTAAACTACTCTCTTTAAAGTAAGAGTGAGAGCGTTCAGTGTTCATAGCAGCTCGACAGACGACAGACAACAAACATCTTGACAAACCAACCAGTATTTGATTTGGCTAATGATTTATGTGCTTGTTGTATCATGGCCAAACTACTTTAACAGCAATAATCCCTGTTTCATCTTGATCTTGCTTTTATTTCCATTTGAACTCAGATCTTGAAACAATCATCTGAAGTGATATCAGATACTGGCTTCTGTTTCTCTTGAAAGCAAGTTAAAACAACAATGATAAACTAAGGCAGGAGGTGTGAGTTGTGGCAGTAGATTTTTGATTCAACATATGTCAACCTAATATTGCTTGAGACCTCTGTGACAGACAAACAAATATTTATAGTTTTTTGATAGTTTGGATTCTTGGCTTGATTTAGCAGATCAGCTGTGAACCTTGACTTTGAAATCACATAAATGTCATGGTACCCGAACGAATCCTCGCATGACATTTCTTCGTAGCACAATTTTTCGTCCGCATTTCTTCGTCTACAAATATTCGTCGGTGCATTTATTTGTCCCTCAATGCTTACTCTTGCATATATTTGCGTTGAAGAAGAAATGCGAGCCGATTTACATATACCCTGGTGCGAGACAAAGTAATGCGATAGGTACGAATAAATGCCCTGACGAAGATTTGCAGACGAAGAATTGCGATACGAAGAAATACCATAAGAATTGTCCTGGAATCCTTTATTGGCCATCATATATTGACCTTGATAAGATAAACGCATCATTCGCGCAATATTTGTCGCACTTTGATACCAAACTATTGCTTCCAAATGCCGACGTAAAGAAAACCTTTATGTGACGTCATAGAAACAGCGGATTTCCCAAAAAGTAAACAAAAATAAAAGTCTTATATCTCGAAAACGGGTGAATATTTTCCGGTAAAATTTGGTAGATGTTCATTTTCGCTCTTTGTGATTCACGCTACATCACTTTTATGCCAATTCATTAACTTTTTTGAAGGTGGGAGGGTCCCTTTAAATAAAAATGGGCACAGTATGAGAGAAAGACTAAAAAAAGTGAGGCTTGACTCTTCTTGTTATGAGAACTCATGGGGCACAACTCGTCGCGCCGCTGGTGTAGTGGTATCATGCAAGATTCCCATTCTTGCGACCCGGGTTCGATTCCCGGGCGGCGCACGAGTTTTCTCACTCCATCAACTCGTCCTGCTTAGATCTGCCGAGGACCCCATTCACTAGTCACTACACGGCAGATCGATGCATGCCCGCCTTCCGTTCAATACTCAATTCCTGACATGACTTTCTGGTTCCACTGTTTGTAGGGGCATTCCACGATAGATCGACCAAAACACCCTCATATTTTATTTTTTGCTTAAAATTGGTCTAATGGGTTGTGATGGGCGGGGAACCCAGCTGTGGCAAGGATTTTTTTCTTCGAACAACGGTTTCCGAGATATAGCCTCGGGCAGTTCCTGGAGGTCACGCTGCAACCCTATGTTTGGCGGCTTATAACTCAGAAACTATTTGTTTTCTATGGTAAAAACTTTATATGGTTCAACTCGCAATCAACCAAGAAACGTTTTGGCTATCTCGGATTTTCGATTTTTGAAAATTTTGATCACGTGACATCTTGACTAGAGGTCTGCACCGGCCGGCTGCAGCCGCGGCTGGCTGCAGCCCCACGGCTGTGGGCCGGGGCGGCTGCAAATATCTCCAAGAACACGGCTACGGCTGTGGCCACGGCTGTGAGATTTCAAGCTCAATCTTAAGTACTCAAATATAAAATTTTAAATCCTTAATCTTACATTCTGATAAGCAGCCTAGCCTGTAAAAATCATGCAAAGGATGCCCAGCAATATTGAAAGTGGTGAAGCCTTTGAAAACCTGTAATGGTTTTACCATTTGCTGTAGAAGAGTTTGCACTCTGGTACAGAATACTAATTATAGGCACCAATTGTTCCTTCATCATCAATAGCTTGACAGTTTCAGAAAATGCAACATGTTGCTGTCACATCCCCCTCAAATCAATCTCAATCTTACCTGGTCATTAGGAGAGCACCTTACAGCTATTGAAGATGAGCGTTCAATAATTCTTTCAGGTAATAGAAAAAGAAATCACGCCTAGGTAAAGGCAGGTAAAGGCTTCATAAAATATTATCTAAAATAACTCTTAGATGTACTTCTGGATTTTCGGCAAGTCCAATTACATAATATAAAACTGGCGCTTTATGTTCTAACTGGCGTGTGAGTGACCGCTAACAGAAAATGCTGATCAACGAAGCCAATGGAATTAGATTATAAGTGAGTATGAACCTTATTTACGGTTAATTCACATGATGGTGGAAACCCTGAACACGTAATTCACATGACGGTGAAAACCCTGAACACAATATTTCTTACGCGAGCTGTTGATTTTACTAATATAATGACGTCTTCCTCTAAAAATGTAAAAATTTGATAATTGATATTTGTTTGAGAGCAAATTTTTAACTGTATAGCATTATTATTGATTAATTATGATTTCTATGGCTGTTTATGGTGACACAAAACAATTTATTGCCACTTCTTTGCTTTTTACGTCATTTGACTCAAGTAAAATTTTTGATTGAAAGAGCAATCGCACGTCCTTGGGGATTTGAGCGAAGATCATTATTTGGAAAAATCAAAATAGATGAATGTTTTTCTTTCTTGGATGCTCACTAGTGTTTTGATGCCTTGCATATCAAATTAGTTGGAGACTTGCTCAGAAGGTTGCTTCAAGCCTGGCATATCACACCCCAGAAAATATGCAGGGTAAGAAAGAAGCAAGAGTTTTGACTAGACAATCACTGTTTGTCCATCAACTTCAGTTTCATTTTCCATACCTAACATTGATAATGAAAAGCATCAGGGTCTGTTGTTCTGTCCCACAACCATGCTTCAGGATTTGGCATTAGATGTCTATTCTACACTGCTAGTGCTTCTATTCTGGTTCGTTGTTTATGTTTTCTGTTGATGTAGGTACCTACCTTACCTAACCTACCCATCTTTCTTAACCCCTTGCAAGGGCTTGTGTAGGCATGCGATGCGCATCAGGCTTCAGGCCTTCGGCCTAAAGCCAGATACACAACCACTTAGCCTATGATGCTTCATGAGCTTGAGAATCTATAGCCCATTGCAATGTGCTTTTGGCTATATGTTTCAACTAAAAACAACTTATTATATACTATTTGGTTGCATTTCATCACGGCCGGCTGACGGCTGGCTGCCCACAGTTTGCCACGGCTGTGGGCGGCTGTGGCTGTGGAGCCACGGCTGCGGGGCGGCTAGGCTGTGGAAAATTGCAGCCGTGCAGAACTCTAATCTTGACCCTTTTTTTGAAGAGTGACCTTGATATTTTCCCAACTGAAAGGCGCAATTTTGTCTGATGACGATTAAAGCCTTATCAATTGTCATCCATATGCGATAATAAAAAAGTGGCTTTCGGCCTGCGTTGACCTCAGGTCAGGTCATTTTTATGACCTTCCCATTATTACGATCAGGAGCGACAGCGAGATCTCGAGAACAAAGCAAGATAGCGACAAGTGGTAAACGGCACAAGGTACACATGGATAAGGTCTACAATTTTTACTCAGGTCATTTTCAGGTCAGGTCAAAGATGACGTCACAGGGGTAAAAAGAAAGTCTAAATGGCGGCACTACATATATATGAAGTTTTTCTCGAATAACTTACAAAGTATCCCAGCTACGAACAAACTAATAGCACCATCGTGATCCTCTCGTCGATCCGCATCGAAACATGTGTATGTTGACCTTGAAAGGTCAAGGTCAAAAGTTGACCTTAGGTCACTGACCTTAAGGTCATCATATATATCATTCGATGGGCCTTGACGAGCTGAACACAATGAGCCTATCCGCGCGGCTGTATCTCAAACCTGTAAGGAGTTATGAGCAAAAAACCATTTGGTGACCTTTAATGACGTCACATGACCCAAGAGCAACGTCACAGTTAACCAAGAGCAAAAAAGGTCTCAAGGTAGTCAAAGTTAGTCGGATATGAAGTCACTCATGGTATATTAGGCAATTCCGACGCGTTTTAGTGTAAAAATAAGGGAGCTGATTTTTCCCCAATTGACTTATAATGGGGTGGTCAAGAAATTGACCTGACCTTAGGTCATCGGTATTGAAATTCAAAACGAACTGGCGCTAGGCGAAAGCAAGCACAATGGTGCCTGTTCCACGTCTCTTTCTTTATTAGATCAAAAGGTACAGCCAAAACTATTTTGACTTCCTTTTTACCCCTGTGACGTCATTTTTGACCTGACCTGAAAATGACCTCAGTAAAAATTGTAGACCTTATCCGTGTGAATCCTGTACCGTTTACCGCTTGTCGCTATCTTGCTTTATTCTCGAGATCTCGCCGTCGCTCCCGCTCGTAATAATGGACAGGTCATAAAAATGGCCTGACCTGAGGTCAACGCAGGGCGATAGCCACTTTTTTATTTTCGCATATGAATGACAATTGATGAGGCTTTAATCGTCATCAGACATAATTGCGACTTTCAGTTGGGAACATATCAAGGTCACTCTTCGAAAAAAAGGTCAAGATGTCACGTGATCAAAATTTTCAAAAATTGAAAATCCGAGATAGCCAAAATGTTTGTTTGTTGATTGTGAGTTGAACCATATACAGTTTTTATCATAGAAAACCAATAGTTTTTGAGTTATAGGCCGCCAAACATAGGGTTGCAGCGTGACCTCCAGGAATTGCCTGAGGCTATATCTCGGAAACCGTTGTTCGAAGAAAAAAAATCCTTGGCACAGCTGGCTTCCCCGCCCATCACAACCCATTAGACCAATTTTAAGCAAAAAACAAAATATGAGGGTGTACGGCTTTGGTCGATCTATCGTGGAATGCCCCTGTAGTTTTCCTACAGTGTATGTACGTGTCTTGGTTATCCCCCGTATGCCGTTTTAATTTAGTAATTGCGGCTCCACCCCCTTTTTTCCATTCAAATGCATCGAACCCCTGTAACACCATCCTGTTCCGGTATTATCGGCTGCGTTATAACCCGGGTGCTATGCCGTGCCGCAGCTGTACGAGACGCAGCTGGTGCGTCACGGCATCATGACACTGGGTCCTAGCGGATCCGGCAAGACCAGCTGCATCCAGGTGCTGATGAAGGCCTTCACCGCCACCGGATCCGTGCACAGGTCAGAAGCGCCGATTTTATACTATTCATACATACTTAAAGCTTCAAGAATGTTACTGTTAACGCCAGACCCCTTGAGACCCTAATTTTTCGCGATTACTTTTAAATGCGTGAAGGAATTTCAACCAAGCTCAGGACATGGCCGTTTCAAGACAGGCCGAAACTTTTACAATTTAGATATTTTATCGCCATTTCAATATTTCAGGCACTTGTCATTGACTCGTAATGTTAAATTTCGAGCAAGATTTTCATCCGGTGTGTAGAGGCTATCACCAGTCAGTCTGTGATACGTTATGACGTCACAGCTAAGCCCCGCCTCTGTGGTCTTGGCCTGCGGCGGTTTCGGGCCGGCGCGCGGTCACTCTCGCTGTGGCGGGGAGCGGGGACGGGCGACGGGCGAGCGGTGCCGAAAGCCGGCGGAGTTGTGCGTAGCGTCTTGGCTGACAGTGCCCAGAGAGCGACATGATGACTAAGGAGTCATAAATGCTCATTGCGCATTGCTTCTACAATGCGCATTGAGCATCCACCACTCAATGCGCATCCACCACTCATGTTCGCTGAAATATTTTTTTTTTTTTATAAGCTGCAAATGACGGGCAGATTGCATATAACTGACATAAGGTTAGGAAATATTCACCTGTATTTAAAGCCTATGGCGTTGCAGATAATGCGATAATGGGATGTCGGATGTCACCAAGTAGCTGCCGATTTGTACATCGCTATGCAACCATCGAACAACGCAATAATAAGTTAATTGCCTGAGCTTCACATCATACGGCTCGCTCGTATTTCAAACAGATACCCTACATCGAAAATCGTATTTGTTAGGAATCGTTAACGTTTGTTCGAAGCACGACTGAGTAGTAGGTTGAGGAGTGATGGTCCTCTTGGTCCTGTATACAAGAGTCAACAAGAGCCTAACATTTACTTGACCGTCTGCTGCAATTGACTCATAGCACGTGAAGCGTCAGCGAAATTCATAGTCCTTCACAGATGGCAGGGGTGTCGTTTGTACAGAGGTCGCTGATGGGCACGGGTCAATGCCGCAGTCGTGGGCGGAGCCTAATGTCATATGACGTAGAAAGCCTCTATCCAGGATGGAAAAACAGTTAACATTACGAGTCAATGACAAGTGCCTGAAATATTGAAATGGCGATAAAATATCTAAATTGTAAAAGTTTCGGCCTGTCTTGAAACGGCCATGTCCTGAGCTTGGTTGAAATTCCTTCACGCATTTAAAAGTAATCGCGAAAAATTAGGGTCTCAAGGGGTCTGGCGTTAACAGTAGTTGTCATGAACAAGAACATTTCCAGTCTACGTCACACGTGTGTTGTTAAGTTATACTCGTAAGGTTATCTGATGAAAGACTTCGTCATAATTGCCGGCAGATGATTTTACAATGCATGCTACATACCTACCAACAATCGGTGAGCTCACCTTTTTTTTTGCGACGCGGGTAGAAGAGTTGCATCCCGATGCAAAACTCATCACGCTTGTCCTAGGCTCAGTATAAAATCACCGTTTCGATTGCCTTCCCGTCACAAATGTCAATCTTCTCGGGAGGTGAGACGCGGTCCGTCCCGTGGGCTGCTAGCATGAACGCCTCGTAAACCGAACTGCGATATCAGCGGCGCGACGCCCGCCAGCTTCCCCCTCCGACTGTCCCCGTGGGGGCGGGGAGAGGGGTCACTCGCTCACTGCCCGGGGCGCCGAGAGCGAGCCCAGACTCCAGTACCGCCCCGGGCGAGCAGGGTGTCAGGTGACGGGGTGAGGGAAATACGACGCCGGCGAGAGTGGATCGTGCCGACAGTGCGACGGCGGAATATGTTGCCAGTGACGGCCGAGACGGTCTCAGGTTCGGTGGGTGGGACTCGGGAGTCGGGAACGGGGACAGCAGTGCAATGGCAATGGTGGAGTGGTGATCAGGTGTCATTGTAGTGTGCTGAGTGGGTTAGTAATGATTCGGCTGGTGAAGTGTAGACCGGTGTTGACTAACGGAGAACTAGATCAGTCAAGAGTTACACTGTGGCCTCACGAATGTTTCACGGCCAGATTCGGGTAGGCGTTCTGACCGACCCCGCCCGCTGCCCTGGCTGCCCTCTGTCAGGGAGATGCGGATGAACCCCAAGTCGATCACGGCCGCCCAGATGTTCGGCCGGCTGGACGTGGCCACCAACGACTGGACAGACGGGGTGTTCAGCGCACTCTGGCGCAAAACCATGAAGGCCAAAAAAGGTACGGCACCGCGGACAAAACACTCGGGACAGTCACTGGGACAGTGGAGAATAACACTTGTTTTCATTCCCTTGAATATGCTGTTAAATATTTCGTCGGCTTCCGTAATTTGTGCAAAGTCTTATACACAATTGCACACATGGCATAGATATTCTGTAATCTAATTTGAGTTTGCGATTGATTTTCGTTCGGTTTGCAATCGATATTCTCACGGGACAGGTGAGTACACGTGGCTGGTGCTGGACGGACCGGTGGACCCAATCTGGATCGAGAACCTCAACTCTGTGCTGGACGACAACCGCACGCTGACACTGGCCAACGGCGACCGGCTGCCCATGGCCGCCACCTGCAAGGTCATCTTCGAGCCGCAGGACATCGACAACGCCTCGCCGGCTACCGTCTCACGAAACGGAATGGTGAGAACTGTGGCCAGCTCCGCCCTGGCCACCTTCTACCGAAACGGCATGGTGAGAGTGTCAACTCTCGTCGGCCATGGCGGCACAAAGTGCCGCTAGTAAAACGGAATGACGATGGTTCTTATTCTCCCTTTGTTCATTTGTCAATATGGTCCTGTAAAACTCCAACTTGAGTGTTATAAATTGCCGGTTGTATCACGCAATTGCTAAGACATTTAGGGAAAGCAGAGCTTTGTTATATCTGATGCCGAATGATCTCGCATTTGACTGAGAATGGCTCCTGGTGCCGCGACGGCAGGTGTACATGAGCTCCTCTGGTCTGGACTGGAAGCCGATCCTGGCCTCGTGGCTGCGCGCCCGGCCCGACCCCAAGGCCGACTGGCTGGAGGAGCTGCGGGAGCTGTTTGACGCCAGCTTCTCTTCTCTCTACGTGTGGAGCACTCAGAACCTCCGCTTCAAGATGCCCGTCCTCGAGGTCAACATCATCACACAGGTGTGCCAGAAGTCCGAGCAACTTAAATAAAAGCCAAGTCTTGGAAGTTCGATTCATCATGAGCTTAGATACTCGGAAGAAGAATGTATGCATAGCTTTGGCTTACAATGAAGGTCCTGACGCCTCTGATGTCTGATCCCTTCAGATCCTGACTCTGCTGACGGCCATGCTGCCCGAGTCGCCGGAGGAGGCGTGGCAGGAGCGGGAGGCGGCCTCCGCCCCCGCCGCCGCCCCGGACGATTCGGACGCCGCTGCCGCCGCCGCCGAGGAGGGCGAGACGCCACCGGCCGACCCCGCCGCCGCGCCCGCCGCCGCCCCGGCCGTGGACACCGCCCGCTTCAGGGCCTACTTGCAAAGGTCAGCTAGTGTTTTCTTTCTACTTGATAAAGTTCGTCTTGTAATGCGACTGATTTTCGTTGCGATGTATTTGCTTTTGTGGATGGTATTCCTGTAGGATCTTACTTTGATGTTTAAACGAGGCAAAGTTCGGTTACAGCTTCATAATTGTTCATCGTTCACTCATTCTCTGAGCCTCTCCGTCGATGTTCCCGCTCACAGGGTGTACACATTCTGTCTGATGTGGTCGGTCGGAGCGTTCCTGGAGACAGACGACAGAGCCAAACTGGAGCAGCAGATGAGGACCGAGTTTCCCGACTGGGAGCTACCGCAGCCCGAGCGGCGAGAGACCATCTTCGACTACTTCATCGATGACGCAGGTAACTCGGGACATTGAGACCGCTTCGAGAAAACCCGAATGCTGTGGCTGTGTTTATTATATTTAGTACCGTGCAATTTGTGAATTAAAACACTGCTTGAGTATACCTAATGAACAGACTGCTCTATTGTTAATATCGTATCGTTCAATTTCCGAATCTGGTCATTATCGTTCAGAGTCCTCTACTGGACGATACGCGCGTTCTTTCTACCTAGTGCTAGTTGCTCTGCCGTCTCTATAAACTGCTCCCCGCGTATATCCGCCGCCGGCCAGGAGCGTGGCAGCCGTGGCGCAGCCGGGTCACCGCCTACGTCTACCCGGAGAGCTCCACCCCCGACTTTCCGTCCATCCTCGTCCCGAACGTGGACAATGTGCGGACAGAGTTCCTGTTGTCCCTGGCCGCCGGACAGGGAAAGGTGAGGGAGTGGAATACGAGTGTAAGGGGGATGGCGCAGATGGATCCGATGGGACAGTTTTATATAAAAGCAGTGCGAGATTAATGATTTTTTGCGTTACGACTGAAAAGCGTATGCTCCAGTCCTTGTGCTATGTGTGGTCGATTTATATTGGACATGACTTCAGACTCGTCCAATTGGATGTCATTGAACGTTCAGTGTGCATGTCATACCGCAGACGTCACAACTGACGTAACTTGTCATTGTAGCATCACACTTGTTCGTGTCTCTGTCCAGCCGTGTCTGCTGCTCGGAGAGCCGGGCTCGGCCAAAACGGTCATGGTCGAGGCGTTCATGAAGCGCGCCAACCCCGACGAGTGTGTCAGTCGGCGCATGAACTTTTCGTCCGCCACTCTGCCCGTCAACTTCCAGGTGGGTGTACCGACTCTGCCCGTTTATCCGGCTATGGCACTTCTTGGGAGTGTACCGACGCTATTCATTAACCTACCGTAATAGCCAAAGCGCCCCTGGAGTCTTGTCCCTGCGGGAACTACGAAAGTAAATCTGATACAGCACACAAATTTTACGTAGCCCATCGTGAGGAGTGCTGCTAAAAGTGATAAAATGACCATTCTTATCACAGCGGACGATGGAGAGTTTCCTGGACAAGCGGATGGGCTCGACGTACGGTCCTCCGGCCGGCAAAAAGATGTTCGTCTTCATTGACGACCTGAACAGCCCGAGGGTGAACGAGTGGGGAGACCAGGTGAGGGATAGTTGCCCTCACTTCATTGTGTCGGACACAGGGCAGCCTGTGTGAGCTCATGTCTAAAACGGCGAAAGCCGAACTGACTGTGGAGTCGTTCGTAAGCAGTTTTATCCAACTATAGCTGTAATTAGAAGTTGATTTTGAAAAGTTCTCCGACCCAGCCATCCATCGTGCGTCGTTTTTCGTCGCTTTGTATAACCGTCGTCCAGACACAATTACAGTTAAGTGTGGAAAAGTATTTGTTCTCACTCGCCCATGTTCACGTTCGCGTATTTCCTCATAGAGCGAGTGGTCGCTGGTCAGGGCTGTAATGATGATCTGGCGACTTATCGACAGGTGACGAACGAGATTGTGCGCCAGACCATCGAGATGAACGGCTTCTACAGCCTGGACAAGCCGGGGGAGTTCACTCACGTGGTGGACGTCCAGTGTCTGGCCGCCATGGGACAGCCCGGTGGGTGATAGTACTGTCTGGTGTTAGGGTGGGAGTTCTATCACGTGGTCCAGTGTTTGGCCGCCATGGGACAGCCCGGTGGGTGACATTGCTGTAGGGGTGGGAGTTCACAGTCATAAAACAGTGCAAACGAGCTATGTGTCGGTATCCCATCGTCGCTGGCGACGTTGGTGACGGACGTGACAGTTTACTCAGAATTGTCACGGCCTGAAATAGTGCCGTAGGGCTACTTACCTATAACACATTTGAACCCTATATCATACATACTCATCGCCCCGAACCCTATCTCATACCTACTCATCGCCCCACCGTTTCCGCAGGCGGCGGCAGAAATGACATCCCACACCGGCTGAAGCGGCACTTTGCCATCTTCAACTGCACGCTGCCCTCGAACGCGTCCATCGACCTCATCTTCGGCACGATCGCCACCGGTCACTACTGCGCCAAGCGCGGCTTTACGGACGAGGTGCGTCAGCTGGTGCAGCGACTGGTGCCCGTCACACGCCGGCTGTGGCACGCCACAAAGGTTGGTGTCGCGTCAGGGAAAGTCGTATGATATACGAGATTAAGACGGGGAAAATCGAGGGTACTTATAAACGTCTTTGGATTTCATTTGATGCCGTTTTAGTACTGATGGAATGTCGCAATCTCTTGAATCGGAGTAAAATTACAAATGTACAGTCGTGATTAATTCCGACTATCGCACGGGGACGTGCATCTCACAATAGCATTATCTGATCGCCAACTGACTGAATCTAAAATAGTTAGTTGAAAAATAAGCCAAATGTGACGAAATATGATTCCCACGTATTCTGTCACAACAGCAATTACTTTCGGAGTGTTCCATCGACGAACAATCACAGTTAAATGATATAGGTTCGGGAGGTATTATGCGTGATATACCATAATGCCTCCTCTGAACGCGGTCTTCATATGTCGTCCCGGTCCCCGGACAGACGCGGATGCTGCCGACGCCCGCCAAGTTCCACTACGTGTTCAACCTGCGCGACCTGTCTCGGATCTGGCAGGGCGTCATCGGCACGCTCAGCACAGTGGTCACCTCGGAGGCCATCCTGATGGCGCTCTGGAAACACGAGTGCACGCGCGTCATCGCAGATAGGTGAGGAGGGGGGGGGGGCGGAGATGAGATGGGACGAGCTATGTGATTGGTGGGGTTGAGGTGAGAGAAGAACAATCGGGCGACGGACGCAATTGTGTTCCTTCAGGTATATAACATGGTTTTTACTTAGCTGAATGTGAATGACAATGGTATTTGCGTAGGTATTTTCGAAACGGCTAATGTCGAGGCAGGTCGGAGGTGACGTCTAAAATAATGGTCCCTGCCTCGAACGACTAGCTCCACCCTCCCTGCCTCCCATCTGCTCCTAACCTAGCAATCCTCACTTGACCCGGCCTGACCTGGCCTGACCTGTCCCAGGTTCACCACGGCCCAGGACGGCGAGTGGTTCTCCCTGACCTGACCTGACCTGACCTGACCTGACCCGACCTGTGTCTCCCCCAGGTTTACCACGGCCCAGGACGGCGAGTGGTTCTCTGTTCAGCTGCAGCAGACGGTTCACAAGTACCTGGGCGTCCAGTACGGGGACATGCTGCAGCCGGACCTCTTCTTCGTTGACTTCCTCCGGTAAACATGCGAAAACGACGACCTTTTCGGTCATGGCGGGCTCGTTATGGGCTTTTGTGAGAACTTAGCGATTTACCCTGCATTGCATCGTGACTGCATTGCTTGCATTGAACCGTGCTCAATATGCGTATGGACCAGAATAAAATATATCTTCATGCTTTCAGGCATCATCGTACCCATTCGTTTCAGAAAATAATTGATCATTCATTCGGTTATTATTTTATTTTTAATCGAGCATAAACCTTTGTAATCATATTTTTATGGCTTCCATGAGCGGCCAGAATACCTTCGACTGAGCTAGTTTCTAGATTCCTGGGCCGTTCAACGGCAGGACCACCTGACGCGTCCCCGTCCGCTCCGCCAGGGACGCGCCCGAGCCCACCGGTGACGAGGGAGACGATATCGACATGGAGATGCCCAAGGTGTACGAGCCCATCGAGTCGTTCAGTGCGCTCCGCGAGCGGCTCGTCATGTTCCTGGCGCAGTACAACGAGATGGTGCGCGGCGTCGGCATGGATCTGGTGTTCTTCATGGACGCCATGGTGCATCTGATCAAGGTACGGAGGAGGCTGGGGGAGGATGGAATTCGAATTGGTGTATTTATTATTGGAACGGGCTTCCAGCAGAAGTTGTACGTTCGCCCTCAGTCCTTGGTGGCTACTCGCAAGCACGGAGCAAACGGGCCAGCCCCGCAAACCAGGAGAAAAGTTTTGGCAGCGGTGGGATTCGAACCCACGCCTCCGAAGAGACTGGTGCCTTAAACCAGCGCCTTAGACCGCTCGGCCACGCTACCAGCTGGTAATTGCGTGTCGAATTTTCAATGTAAATAATGTTTTGTGTCTTTCAAGGGAAGGTTAAGCACATTTTTTGGTAGTATACCCTAAGGAAACTATTTATATTATTTTGACATTTTTTCTTCAAACTTGAATACCGTGACTTGGTGTGAATTTCTTTATAGCGTGCTTTTATACGGCGAAATCTCACTGATAGTCGTATTAGAGCGTAGGTATTTGAAGTCCAAAGGTGAGGCCTGTCCCAGGGCTGCGGAGTCGGAGTCGACAGTTCTGACCGGAGTTTTGGAGTCGGAGCCGATTTTGGAAACCGGAGTCGGAGTCACCTAAAATCCATCGACTCCGCAGCCCTGCCAGGTCTGCGGAGTCGAAGTCGGTCGGAGTCGACAGTTAGTTCTAACCGGAGTCGGACTGTCGACTCCGACCGACTCCGTTTCGTCGGGCGGAGTCGGAGTTTGTTTTAGCCCGGCCCCTGTCTGTGACAAATGTCATGCTTCAATATTGGTCACAAGCATGGTACTATTATATAAGTATCCTTAAACTTTGACTTTACTCTTACCGTAAAACAATTTTTGGTAGCATTTCGTTCCGTTCGAATTCCCGCTCGTCGACCATCATGCAAATTGCAGTTAGAAACAAACCGCACCGGACGAGCCGAAGCCATCAAAAGAAAACCGTCACAAACAACAGCAATTATCGCATATAAAATCGATCCTCACGTGGCGCGGGCTGGCCGCTGGTCGGTATGGCCCCGAGGCTCAGGCAGCTCCGTCGTTCTCAGATATCTCGGATTATCCGTAACCCGGGCGGTAACGCGCTGCTGGTGGGAGTCGGCGGCTCCGGCAAACAGTCGCTCACCAAGCTGGCCTCCTTCATCGCCAGCTACAAGACCTTCAACCTCACCATCACCAGGTGGGTCGGGTCAACGTTGTTCTCAAAGGGCAGCTACCGATAACAGTTGAACATAGGGGATATGAACTATCCTTCTTGGAACTAGGGTCTAGGAAGCAGTCGAGGGGCGGTAGTATAAACGGACTACGGAGTCTCACTTACTTATAGAGATACAAGTGGACAAGGTTAGTATAGCTCACTGCCAGATGTACTGGCTGATTTTGCTCGTCTATCCGACGTAACCAACAACTGTATCGACTATCGCACGGACACCACAGAGATGTAAATGTTTACCGATCGACAGGTCGTACAACTCCAACAACCTGCTGGAGGACCTGAAGGTGCTGTACCGCACGTGCGGCGTCCAGGGCAAGGGCACGGCGTTCATCTTCACCGACCAGGATATCAAGGAGGAGGGCTTCCTCGAGTACATCAACAACGTGCTCGCATCAGGTGAGGGTCGCTGCTGGCTGCGAGTGCGGACTGCGGACTGCTGACTGCCGACTGCTGATAGTTGACCATATGACTGTCGACTGACTGACTGCTGATTGGTAGCTCATTGCTGAGTTGTGGACTGACCCTAAATCAAAGTTTCGTTATTGTTCCGATATAAATAGAACGGGTTTTTATTTACCAGTTGGATATTTAACGTTGCTCTGATGTAGTCTGCGCAGCCATGACCAAGCACGCAGAGCTATCATCGTACAACCGTTTTAATGCCCGGCGCCGCCTGTGTCGTCAGGGGCTAGGGCTGATTGCGAATATTTTCCTGTAATTCATATAAGTCAGCGCCAAAATATGTTCGTTGTAACAAGGAAAGGAAAGAATTATATTAAAAAGGCGAATTGTTATTTTTAATTTTTTCAATGGGGTGACCAATGAGAAGGTTCTTTTCTAGGATTATCATGAACATATTCGACGATAAGGCTACTGCTTGATTTCATTTGTTGATGTACCCTAATAGGCGTATTCTAACCAACGTGACTGCTCCATGGGGTGTACACTGCACTCAGGTCTCATCTCCAACCTGTTCAACCGGGACGAGATGCAGGAGATATGTGCCGAGCTGACCCCTGTGATGAAGCGCGAACACCCGCGGCGGCCACCCACTCCCGAGACGCTGGCCGACTACTTCCTCTGCCGGGTCCGACAGAACCTGCACGTGGTCCTCTGCTTCTCACCGGTGAGAGCTGATGGGGAACGATGAGAGCCGGCGGAGAGCGGAAGGGTCAGAGCGAGATGTAAATGGCTTGCTGCCATGACATATGCAAACGTAAAAATATCACCAGCTCTGGAATGGACCGAATGTACTTCCACGAAATATCCTTGTCTGTCAACCGATGCCCTCATTTGCGGAAGAGAAGAGCCGTACCTTACCAATAACTAACCCGTTCGTTGCGACTGGTCAGGTGGGCGAGAAGTTCCGTTCGCGGGCGCTGCGCTTCCCCAGCCTGGTGTCAGGCTGCACGGTGGACTGGTTCCAGCCGTGGCCCAAACAGGCGCTGATCGCTGTGGCCGAACACTTCACGGGCACGTTCTCACTGGCCTGTGAGCCGAGCGTACGCGACCAGCTGGTGCAGGCCATGGGAGCCGTCCAGGACACCGTGGCAGACTACTGCGTCCAGTTCTTCCTCAGGTGAGGCCAATGCGGGCTCAGCCCTTTCTCAGACTATCGCGTGCAGCTGTTCCTCAGCCTTTTGTGTCCAGTTCTGCCTCGAGGCTAGGACACAGAGCTACTTCGGTCTCGGCTCAAAGACCTGTCCTGACCAAGGAACTTGAGCCAGGGATATGTTTTGAGTGGTGGCGTATATTGGCTAAAGGGCGCAAACCTTATACCGTTCATCTAATTCCATCGTCGTTGCGGCTTCTCCCCAGGTTCCGACGTTCAGCTCACGTTACCCCCAAGTCCTACCTGTCCTTCCTCAACTCGTACAAGACCGTGTACCGCAACAAGAGCGCCGAGATTGGCGAGCTGGCCGAACGGATGAGCTCGGGACTCACCAAGCTGCACGAGGCGTCGCTGACAGTGGAGGCCCTCAAACGGGAGCTGGTGGTCACGGAGACTGAGCTGGCGCAGGCCTCTGCTAAGGCTGAACAGGTGAGGAGGGTGTTCGGAATGGGTGGGATGGGACATTAGGGAAGGGTGGGTGAGACAGGACGGTTGGTTGGTGGGATGGTGGTATAGGACAGGATGGTCGAGCGAGACGGTAGGTGGGAGGGGGACGGTCAGCTGCTTAAAGGGGACCCTGACGACAAATTTTGGGGATGCTAGTGGCTGACAACGGGAAGTTTCAATTAATGACGTGATACATCTGCATTGCGATGGCCATGCGCTCGGTTGGCTCCTCGTGTACATCTCTGAACCGCACGAGATCCACAGACTGGCATAATCCTCGGTGGCTAATGACCCCTCCTCTCCTCTGACCTCTTCAGGTGCTGGAGGCGGTCACGAGCCGCGCCGAGGAGGCCGAGACCATCCGTGACCACATGGTCCGTGTCAAGGACCGCGCCATCGCGCTGGTGGACCAGATCGCCTGCGACAAACAGCTGGCCGAGCAGAAGCTGGAGCTGGCCCGGCCGGCGCTGGAGATGGCAGAGGCCGCGCTCAACACCATCAAACCGGCTCACATAGGTCAGAGAGGAGGGGGGATCGGAGTGGGCCAGGCGGGGTTTAAAATGTTATGCAAATCCAACCAGGCCCTGGCTAGCTAAATCATCCAGAAGTCCAGTCCAGATAAAAATGTGGGAGCTCGTGGGGTTTGCGCTATCTCTTTAATTTACGAAGAAAGAGTGAAACTAAAAATACGATGAAACAGCAAAAAGGAAGAAGTCGAATCCCACTTGATTTAACAAAGAACATTGCATTGTTTTCGCATTTTAAACCCCCTCTCCATCCACCCCGCCGTGCGCCCCGCTGTCATCTGCCGTGCGCCTCCCGCCCTGCTGACCCCTTTCCGTCCCCGCAGCCACCGTGAGGAAGCTGGGCCGTCCGCCGCACCTGGTGATGCGTATCATGGACTGCGTGCTCATCCTCTTCCAGAAGCACCTGCAGCCGGTGAAGCCGGACCCGCAGGCGCCCTGTCCCAAACCCTCCTGGGTCGAGTCGCTCAAGGTGAGGTGCTGGGTGGGTGTAGCACCCGCAGGCGCCCTGTCCCAAACCCTCCTGGGTCGAGTCACTCAAGGTGAGGTGCTGGGTGGGTGCGGGACCCGGCAGGCGCCCTGTCCCAAACCCTCCTGGGTCGAGTCACTCAAGGTGAGGTGCTGGGTGGGTGCGGGACCCGCAGGCGCCCTGCCCCAAACCCTCCTGGGTCGGGTCACTCAAGGTGAGGTGCTGGGTGGGTGCGGGACCCGCAGGCGCCCTGTCCCAAACCCTCCTGGGTAGAGTCACTCAAGGTGGGTGATGGGTGGGTGTAGGACCTGCAGGCGCCCTGTCCGAAACCCTCCTGGGTCGAGTCACTCAAGGTGAGGTGACGGGTGGGTGCGGGACTGAAAATGAGAGCGAAAATAGCATCATTGAGAGGCAGCAGCTGTATGGTGCTCGATATTCGAGACTCCTGACGGGGATAGTGTGCGCCTGGTGGAAAGTTGAACTCAGTGCCAGAGTGGGACAAGCCGTACTTATGGCTTTGATGGGCACGTTAAACTTGGAAAGCAGTTCTGTATTATCGTATATATAATATGCATATTACAGTTTACACAGCACTTTATTTTAGCGGACGCATATCAGGGGCGCCGCCTGGCCGTTGACGCCGTTGTGGCCGTTCTCCTGCTTGGGCCGCTTCGCCTCGTCGTCGGCTGACGCATCCGAGGGACGCCGGGCCCGCTGTCGCCGCCGCAGCCGGCACCCGGCGGCGGCCGTCCGTCGTGGACCATCGGCAGTGCGCCGGCCGTCCGGCTCTGCCGCTCCCGTCGGAAGACGGCGTTGTCTCGTTCCACGGCAGCTCGCAGCGGGCCAGGCAGGGCGGCCAGCGCCGACAAGCCGCCCGCCGCCCCCGCCACCGCTGCATCGGTCAGCCGGTACAGCAGCGTGTAGGCTGCCTCGGTGGAGCGGCGCGGCCGGCCCAGCGCGGTGGCCGCCGGCACCGGCACCGCTGACGTATCGTCCAGCCGCCACCAGCCGGTATCGTCCATCCCATCAATACCACCGCCACCGGAGGCGCGACAGAATGAGAAATAGTGGCCAGCGTCCAGCGAATGGCCCGCGTGGACTATCACTGCATACAGCCGGTACTGGGCGGGCGGGCCGGTGGCTAGCGGCACTGTCAGCCACTCGGTGAGCTCCACAGGGGTGAGAACCTTGCGGCGTGCACCGGTGCGCCGGTCAACCGCGAACCTCATCAAGGAGACGACCAGGTTGGCTGGCGGAGAGAGCAGTCGCAGCTGGCGCTCGGCGTCCCGCAGGCCGGTGCACTTGGTACAGTAATACTGGTTATCACCGCACAGTCGTTCCGGCGTCAGGTAGTCGAGCAGCAGCTGCGATACGGTTAGCTCGATCTCTGTCTGGTTGTCCGTCGGTGGCGTGCCCCGCCAACCGACCGGCCGCGGCGCGGGGCCGAACGCCGGCGCAGTTTCGGCTCCCCCGGCGCCCGCGGCAGCTGCCGTCAGTGACCGTGTCACCGACTCCGGCAGAGCCAGGTGCAGGTCCGTCACGCTGTTCTCGTGGCGCGAAGCGCCGCCGCACGTGAGACAGGTGAACGTAGTCTCAGCCCGTCCGGTCAGTAGCCGACGGACCAGGCCGGCGGGCGGCTCCTCAGCTCCGGCATCGCCAGTACCGTGCTCACGCACCACCTCGCCCTGCGCCTGGCCGTCCGGATCAGTCTGCTGCGTCCCGCCGGTGTCCGGTGACTCTGAGGGCTCCCCCTCCGCGGCAGTCCGCTCCGCCCTGTCTCCGGCCGGCTCTGCCATCACCACATCGTCGCTGGCCAGGTCAGAGAGCTGCACCGGCGGCGATCTCCCGCCGGCCCGCGCAGTGTCGCAGGAACGGTGCCGGCGCCGGGACCGCGGCCGCTCCATCGCCGCTGCTCCCGGCACGCTGGAGTCGTCTCTGTTGCGTGCGGTGGCAGCAGCTGGAGGGACTGGCGGCGGGACCGCGACCGGTGCGGCAGGGGAAGCTGCCGGAGACCGCTCCTCCTCATGCAAGGCGTCCAGAAAGCATCGGAGGAACTCTGAGCAATCGTGCTGCCGGCCCCGCTCAAAACAGGGCGGCAGAGCGGTCCGCTGAAACTCGCCCGGGCTGTAGACGGGCCGCTCCGAGAACGCCAGGAAGGCGAACACTCGCTGTAGTGCCGCCAGGTGCGGGCGGGAGGGGGACGGCCGCGCTGCCAGCACCTCGCCGCGCAGTTGATCTGAATGGAACAGCGCCTGTAGCACGGTGTTCATGAAGCACGTGTTCCCAAGGTTGACCAGGCCGCGCCGGTAGCACGAGTTGCCCAGGTTGATCTCAGTCGGAGAATCTGCCTTGGGCGGCGTGGCTCTTGTGCTCCTCTTGCCGCTGATTTCGACCTCAGGCGCACAGCTAGCCGATGGCGTAGCCGCCGTTACCGCGTGGCTCCGCGGCCACCGGCGCGTCGTCCCTGGGTTGCTCCCAGCGGTGGAGGCAGCCCTGCGGGTTTGGCCTGCTTGTTCTATGCCAGATTGGGGAGCGGTGGCGAGGACGGAGGCCGCGTTGCCACGAGCGATGGCCACGGACAGCCGCTGTCGCAGCCACTCCGTCTCGCGACGCTCACCCGTGCAGGTTGCCAGGCGTCTCCCCAGGTCCTGGACGAAAGCGGCGGCGGCCGGACCATAGACACCGGTTGTCTCCAGTGCCACCGGAACAAAGCTATACCTCCTGGCTAGGTCCGCATAACGCTGCCGCTTTCGCTCTTCGGCTTGCCTTGCAGCTGCACCCGGTTTCAGTGCGGACTCCACCGCTATGTGGTCGGCGAAAGTGTCGACGCAGGTCGCGTCCCACGTCAGACACTTGCCCTCGCGGAAGGGGAAGACGGTGATGCCATCCGGTCGTCTGCCGTCGCCCCGGTCGAGGCCGACTGGCTCCAGAATGGCGGGAAAGCCAGCGCCGGAGAGAGCGCGACGCACCACGTCGTTCAAGTGGGCATGACGCGAGTGGCGACCCGCACTTTTCTGGCAGGAGAGGCCATGATGTCCCAGCGGGGTGACGGGGCGCGCACACAGACGGCACCGATGCGGCTCGCAAACCGGGGCGCCGAGTCTCAGGGCTACAGCGACGCGGACGGTTTCGTCGTCGAGGTGAAGCCCGAGACTCGGCACCGGCACTGCCTGGATCCAGGCCGCTGTGTGCGGCTGGCCGGCGGCGATGAGCCGAGCTCGGTCGATCTGGTTGGCTGGTACCAGTAGGCGACTTTGGACCACCGTACAGGCGACGGTGTCCCACGCGCGCTGACTACTGACCAGCTCACCGTCCGGCAGCTGCTGTCGGTCCACCCCTGTGCGATGAAGGAACGCGCTGACTGCGGTCTCCAAGGTGTCTGAGAGTTCATCAGTCACACTCGGACAGATGGAACGGATGAGGGGGCGTGCTGCGTTTACCGACGCAATGTACGCTGGTAGCGCCAGTGCCTCGACTGACCGGATGCCCAGGCCGCCGAACTTCACTGGAAGCGACGCCTGCTCCCATGCCGCAGGGTTTATGGCCACGTTGCAGACCGCTTCTAGTGTGCTGCGCACCATTTCGTCAGTAGCCTGGAGTACGTGTGGGGCTTTGTACGCCGGTGCGGGGCGCAGCAGGTACGTCAGACGCGGTGCCGATACGTGGTGCGCCAAGAAAAACACCGCAGTGTGGCTGTCTAGCTCGCGCAGCCGGGTGCAGAGGCGTTGCACCATAGCAGAGGCTGCCTCTCCTGCTGCTCCTATGCTGCCGTCGGTCAGGGGAGAGCCAAGCAGAGATAGGTTTGTGAGCTCAGTCTCTTTGACGTCAGGCAGCGCAGAGCAGATGGCGCCGATGGCAGCGTGGCGGTGGTCCGAATCTTCAGCGCCAATGAAGGCCACCTCACACTTGGACGCGTTCAGTGAGAGACCAGCGGCTGCCAGCGCTGTTGGAAGTGTTGCGATGTCAGCAGCGACCGCGCTGGCTGGACCGGCCAGCGTTGCATCGTCCAAGTACCAGATGTTCAGAGGTGCTGACACTGCTCTGGCACAGGAGTCAATGGCGATAGCAAACGCGGCCGGTCCGAGCGGGTCGCCTTGCTGGACACCGCAGGCCGAAGCGATGGTCTGCCCTCCGATGATGAGTGGGCTGGGTGAGCTGTAGGCCTGGTAGGCTAGGTAGTACACCTCCGGACATCGCTCCCTAATGCGGGTCAAGAAGACGTCGCGCCGCACCGTGTTAAAAGCATTTGACACGTCAAGTTTGACCAGCACGTGTGGAGCAGCTGACTGTCGGCTGGCTTCAATGAAACTGCGCGTTGCATGGACCGCCGCCTCGCAGCCCAGGGGCGTTCCTACCCCGAGCTGGACAGGACGGAGTTCGGCACCAAGGCTGTCTGCCACGAAGCGTGCTCCGATGCGGGATGGCAGGCGTCGGTAGACGCTCCCGACTGCAATGGGCCGCAATCCGCCGCTCTTCTTCCTGAGTGCGCATAGTGAGGCGCTGAAAAGGGCGTCCCTGGCACAATCCGGCACCTCGCCGGCCAGCACCAGGTTGGTGAGTACCGTCAAAGAGTGCAAAAGACGGCGGCCGCTCTCAGCCGCCTCCCTGGATATAAGCTGGCGTAGATGTAGCGGCCTGATGCCGTCTAGGCCTGCTGATGATCCCGGAGGCATCGAGTTGATAGCGGCCTCCACCTCCTCCGGCGTCACCGTGAGCGGCCCTGGGTCTGATGGGGCGGGCGGTGGCGGCAGAAGCTCGTCCTTGGGAGCTGCTGGGTGTTTCAGCATTAGCTCGGCGATTACTTCGGCGTCAGGCTCGGCAACTGTATCGTCTGAGGTCAGTAGCCTTAGGGCCGCCCGGATGTCGCCATCTGCACATTTCCCGAGGATCCGACGGGCCAGGGCGTCAGTGGCAGGCTTTTGATGTTCTCGTGCTGAGTCATTTGTTGGTGGTTCGGGAAGCAGGTTTGGTGTCATGGTTTGGTTGGGGCTGGAGAGCTGCTGCCTGATGCTCGCTGCGGCACTGACATTATTATCGCCTTTTCCTGGTGTGCGTAGCGCGAAGAACGCGAAAGACAGGAAGGTCCACCACGCGCAGATTGTGCGTAGCTTAAGGGCATCCTCTAAGGCGCTGCATAGGGCATCGGCCACCAGGGGCCTTACGCCTTTAGGTATTCGCGAGATTAGTTTAGTGCTTCTCCTTAGAGTTGCCAGTCCTTCGACGACGCCAGTGTCTGGAACCTCTCTTCCGTTGAAAGCGTCAGAGAGCTGGGCTGACTCGCGGCCGAGGCATGCAGGACAATGCCAAACAGGGAGGTGATGGGATTTCCTTGCAGGGACCTTAGCGCAGGAAGTATGCCATAGTTGCCTACAGGAGCCGCAGGTGATGATTGTCTTCCTGCGGCTGCGAATGGAGCAGGCGACACACTCAGCAGGACTCTGGGTGGACGGCTGGTCTCTGGCGTCGTGAGGTGGCTGGCTGACCGGAACCAGTGACGGCGAGGAAGCTGGTGGTGAGGCGTCTCGCGCTGGCTGGCTGGTCGGTGTCGGTGACGGCGAGGAGGCTGGTGGTGAGGCGTCTCGCGCTGGCTGGCTGGTCGGTGTCGGTGACGGCGAGGAGGCTGGTGGTGAGGCGTCTCGCGCTGGCTGGCTGGTCGGTGTCGGTGACGGCGAGGAGGCTGGTGGTGAGGCGTCTCGCGCTGGCTGGCTGGTCGGTGTCGGTGACGGCCAGGAGGCTGGTGTTGAAGCGTCGCGAGGCGGCTGTGGGCTGTTCTCGCCGTTGGAGGTAGGACGCTGCGGGTCGCAGGGCTTGGCGACAGGAGTATTTTGGCAGGTGGTGCATCTCCATTCCGTGTGGAGCTTCGCGAGTCGCAGCAAATTCGACCGGTTGAGGACTGCGCAGCGGCCATGGAACCACCGGCTACATTGGTGGCATTGAACTGAGCCGCTCCCGACACCCCGGCTGCATGCGCCGCAAGGGTACCTATGTGACATGTTTGCTGGTTAATCTCCGGGTCATTGCGCTTGAGTTCAAGTTATTAAATGAAGTCTTGGAAAAGAGTGGCCGAGCATAATCTTGCACTGGAGTAAAAGATGTCGAACAAATATTCAAAACGAAGAGCGAAGAAAGCTACACCATCCGGACAATAGCAATCCCAAGAGAAACTTGATTACTTCTCATGGGCCAACTTCATACAGTTGCAATTCAACGCATCTTCCCGTTGATTTCTTCGGTGCAATCAGCTCATATATATCCATACGACATATATGGATATATCCATACGGCAATATCAATACGATATTGCCGGCTTTAATTTCGTGGGAGCTTTTAGTCGCAGTTACGCGTTGTTAATATCCACGAGCCTTTTTGGCAAAAATCAAGCGTGGATCAGCAGTCCAAACAACAATGTTTTTTTAACTTAAGTTCAAAATTTTACCATTTTCAAACGCTTATATCTGGCAAGTTGCACAACATTAAACTTTATAAATTACAGTTAAACATTCTACGTTAAATTCCTAACCACGCTATATTATTTTCAGCTCGTGACACAATCTAGTTAGTAGTTACGGTAAAAAATGACAAAATACTAGAGCCCCTTCAAACACGTCCGACCCCTATAAGCATGACGAGTGAAGTCCACGTTAACTACGTTAAACTATCACATCCAAATTATCCCGTTACTCGGAATTGCGCGATCGGACGGTAGGGGTGGGAGTCTACGCAACCAGCTTTGCTTAGCGTGGACTTGGGCTCTGTCAATGGCTGTCCATTCAAATAATCGAGGTAAATTAATTTCGTAAAAAACTTATTCCATCTTCCTTAAAGCCTGCTCTACGGTCTGTTCTAACGTCTGTTCTATCTCGGACCACCGTCAGATGATGGCGAGCACCACATTCCTGCAGCAGCTGCAGAGCTACCCCAAGGACACCATCAACGACGAGATGATCGAACTGCTGGAGCCCTACTTCGACATGGAGGACTACAACATGGACACGGCTACCCGCGTCTGTGGCGACGTGTCCGGCCTGCTCTCCTGGACGCGCGCCATGTCCTTCTTCTTCGGCGTCAACAAGGAGGTGCTGCCTCTCAAGGTGAGTTGGCACAGAAAGGGTAGAGGAAAGCTGGACGGAAGAGTGGATGAATGATGGAGGGAAGGGGGTTGATGATTGAGAGATGGAAAGAGGAAGCGGGGAAATAAGAGGACCGTGAAGAAGACGTATGGAGTAGAATATAGGGAAGAGAGATATATGTAGAGAGAAAAACAAGAGAGGTGGAGGGAGACTGAGAGTCAGACCCGGTGTCTGACCACCACCTTCCCCCGTCCGCTCTCTGCAGGCGAACCTGGCGCTGCAGGGCGCGCGTCTCTCCTCGGCCCAGGACGAGCTCAGTGCCGCCGAGGCCGAGCTGACTGACAAGGAGGCTCAGCTGGCCAGCGTCAAGGCTCAGTACGACCGCGCTGTGGCCGAGAAGACGCGCCTCACGCAGGCGGCCGACGCGTGCAGGAGGAAGATGCACGCTGCCAGTCAGCTGATCAACGGTCTGGGCGGGGAGAAGGTGCGCTGGACCCAGCAGAGCAGGGCCTTCAAGGAGCAGCTCGGACGGTAAGCGGAGGAGAGATTATATTATAGGCCGGGGCTCATGACTGTGAGGGTTTGGTGGGACAGTTATAGTGGGACTGATAGGTTCTGTAGCTGCGATGTCGCGTTTACGATAAATCGTTTCGACCCGGATAAAGTGAAGAGATATGTGGTGGTATCATGGCTAATGACTTGGGCGCCACTCGTAACGACATTTAGCCTTCGAAATTCGCCAACATGAAGTAGCAAATTGAAATTTATTGACAACATATGAAAAATGACAGCAAAACTGACTGCCGATTTTGTAGTCCCATGTTCTGCTGCGTCGTTACCAACTTTAATTGCATCCTTCGCGCTTCATCTCTTGCCTGCTCCCCCAGGCTGGTGGGCGACGCTCTGATGGCAGTAGCGTTCCTGTCGTACGCCGGTCCGTTCAACCAGGAGTTCCGCTGCTCTCTGCAGGCCAGCTGGCGCCAAATTCTGCAATCTCGCGCCATACCGCTGACTGAGAACCTCAACATCATCTCCATGCTGTGTGATAACGCTACGGTGGCAGAGTGGAGCCTGCAGGTCAGTGATCAGGGCCGAGGTAATTCACGTCAAAATGGGAGGGGTATATAACGAGTATAACTGAGCTATATAGAGGTGATTGTAATGATGTGTGCAGTAACGGTCTTTGAGCGTCCGTCACAGAACTGCCGAGCCAGAGCTATTTTGGTATCGGAACGCGGTAACCAGAGCCTTACGGTCTCGGCAACAGGTCCCCATAGGCATTGACCGGTGTCGATTAGTCCTGACCGGTGTCGACTAGTATTGACTGGCCTCGACTCTCGAAAGTCTCGACTTTTTGTATTTCGCGAGGTCCACCTAGTTATGTCCCTCAGGCAGTCTTCGTCGTGTAGGAGGGTATCTGCCATTCATCAGTAATAGTCTGTCCAACTGTCTCGCACGACGAATGTCACTCCTTCCTTCCATACCCTGTCTGTGTCCCGTCAGCGGTCACGCGGTCACTAACGTTCTGCGTGTTTCAGGGTCTGCCCAGTGACGAGCTGTCCATTCAGAACGGCATTGTGGCCACCCAGGCCAGCTGCTACCCACTGATGATCGACCCGCAGGGACAGGGCAAGGCCTGGATCAAAAACAGGGAGGCCGCCAACGAACTGCAGGTATGGGGCGAGAGAGAGAGAGAGAGAGAGAGAGAGAGAGAGAGAGAGAGAGAGAGAGAGAGAGAGAGAGAGAGAGAGAGAGAGAGAGAGAGCGAGAGAGAGAGAGAGAGAGAGAGAGAGAGAGAGAGAGAGAGAGAGAGAGAGAGAGAGAGAGAGAGAGAGAGAGAGAGAGAGAAGAGAGAGGGAGAGAAAGATTGCTTGCTTTCCGCTGACAGTGGCACTGCAATCGATGCAAATTAAACACTCCCATCCTATCACGACACCCTGAGACCCCGCTTCTCCATACATTCTCTACCTTCTACACTCTCTCCACTCTCCCACGACTCTCCCTCACTCACCCCTCTCCCTTTCGGCACAGATCACGTCCCTCAACCACAAATACTTCCGCGCCCATCTGGAGGACAGCCTGTCGCTGGGCCGGCCGCTACTGATTGAGGATGTGGGAGAGGAGCTCGACCCCGTGCTGGACAACCTGCTGGAGAAGAACTTCATCAAGTCCGGATCCACCCTCAAGGTAATGGAGCGGTAGTGTGACTGAGGTAGTGTGAGAGGTGGTTGTAGTGGTTGAAGTGATGTTGTCCAGTGGCTGCTAATACATAAGTGTCCGTCACGTTTAGACCCGGAGCGTGCGTCGTGCTTAGTTGTATAGACCCTCACAGATCGATGTTACGGTAGAAGTGTATTTGTTGGCTGGCTGTTACCTAGGCAACCCTTAACACCTGTCTAAGACAGCTGATGCAGAGCAGCTAAACAAACTGGAGCATGTTACAAAAAAAACAATAAATTATTAACTTTAGTTACTAGTTCAGCTGTATCATTTTATAACTTGGCTGGAATTAAACCTTTTTGTGCCGGCGTTCTTTTGAATAGGAAGACTAGGGCGCCTTTCTGAGTGAGGATAACCTCTCGCCTGCCAGCCTTGTAACTTGAGAGACCTGCTTCCAGAGCGCCAATGTGACCGGAACGGTAGACATGAGAATGGCTGGTGGCCACGTCCAGGTTTGTCTGTATCGGCATCTCACGGTTTTGCTCGCTTTCACGTTGTTCTCTTTCTGCTCATTATTCACAATGTAAGTATTTCTCACTGATTTGAGATTCGATGATGATTTTTCGCATTTTCTAGTATGTAGTCACTTTGTACAGCCCTCTGCAAACTGCGTGGTAGGTATTCTTTTTTCGACAAAACCGGGAATAACGCGAATACAATGCTATTGGCCACTCGGAAAACGTAACAGCAAGACGTGCGAGACTCCGCACCTTAGATTGGGCTTATTTTGGTATACATTTTCCAGCTGGTTTGGCAACAATACAAGAAAGTTTATATCTGCCCCCAAAACAAACTTTTGCATTTTGTTGCTACACTAGTTGTATAATTCGTTCAGTGATAGAACCAATCGAGGGAGTGGAGCATGGCGCATCTTTATGCAATGAGATCCGACCGACCGATAACTTTGTCTTTGAGTTATTCTCGGTTTTGTCGAAAAAAGAATACCTACCACGCAGTCTGCAGAGGGCTGTACCAACAGTAGATGTGACGTTTGTGAAAAAGATTTTCAGGAAATACTCACTTCACTAACAGTTACGGCATATTTAATCATTTTCTAACCCTTACAGTGAAGAGGGAAAAGATCGTGATATATTCAAGTTGATACAAGATATCTAGCCTTTGCATAAGGCTTTACAGAATTTGACGGATTTGGATTGAATGCATTTGCATATACGGAATGGATTTGCATTCTTTATTTATCGTTTTTAAAAAGCTCTGCTCTCTTACTTTATCAAGCTCTATTGGTCTCGGTACTGAATCTATCCAGCGTGCGATTTTTCGCGATAAATAAAAATCAATGAATGTACAGATAAATGCACTCCGCATGACCTTCATCCCTTGCTACACCAACACATCGATCCTGTCTTCATACATTTACTGGTTTTTACCTAGCCATGTGGGTATTGGATGTAAGTACTGATAGCCGAACCCAGTTACCAATGTGAAAATATAATCACAAGTATGTCATCATTGGAAGCATTTATCATCATCCAGCATTGGTACTGCAGGCCATCCATTTTTTTACGTTACAGGAATAGTTTATGTTTGGATTCGGCTGCGCGTTTTACACGTTCTTTCGCGATCAGTCTTTTTAAAATTGTTTGTTTATGAGAACTTGAAGTCGAGACCTTGAAATGCACCTTCTTTATTGGAACCCTTATCCTAGAAGCCATCATTCCTCCAAAGTTTCGATCACTTTTATGTCAATGGCCTCATGTCCTGAAAAATTATCGATGAAAGCGTCATAACTCAAGCGAAACGCACTGTGTAGGAATATGTTCGCTGTTACACCGTGCAAATCACAGTGTTTTAGCGGCGTCTAATTATCATTAACTGACGAGCGATAATTACCTCAAATGAGGTTGTGCGCTTCCTGTCAGCTATAAAGCTCACTGGTGAAACGAGACATTATAACCCGCAAACGACCAGTGCACACTCCCCGATCATTGATTGGTCGTGTCATGTATGACGTCACTGGCGCTGTATCCAGGTGCTGGTTGGCGACAAGGAATGTGACGTCATGCCGGGTTTCACGCTGTACATCACGACGAAGCTGGCGAACCCAGCGTACAGCCCGGAGGTGGCCGCCAAGACGGCCATCATCGACTTCACCGTCACTGTGCTGGGACTGGAGGACCAGCTGCTCGGTAGGAGAGCGGGACGGGGGTGGGAGAGGGCTGGGGTGGGGAACGCTGGGAATGGGGGAGATTGGGGAATGGGACTGAATGTAAAAATAGGATGGGTCTCTTGAATATACCCCGCATGAGCTGGGCCAAGGTAACGCAGGTGTCATTGCCGTCTTCGGGAATTTCTCGATTGTCCGTTCCGCGGTTTTGGTCCGCGGTTATCCCAGTGTGCGCCGCTGACCGTTCCGCCCGCCCCTATTCGCCAGGTCGTGTGATCCGGACAGAGAAGGTGGAGCTCGAGTCGGACCGCGTGGCGCTCATTGAGGCAGTCATGGAGAATAAGCGCAAGACCAAGGCGCTGGAGGACGACCTGCTGTACCGGCTGACGTCCACGCAGGTGGGTCACGGCCGCCCGGTCCGGTCACAGACGTCACAGAGGTCAGCTGAGACGGAACGGGTGGGGGAGACTGGTGGGGTGGGGGAGACTGGTAGCCACGTGATGAGACTGAGTGCCGGCGCACCAGCACGCCCAACACCAATGAGCTGCGTCCATCAGAGCATACATCACCGCTGACATGGACTCCCAGCCGACCAGACTAGCACTCAGCATTCCTCTCCTGAAGCTTCTCTCACCAATAATGGTCGGTCGAGAACCTTCTGTACGATACACACCCGTCCCCGGTCACCTGAGCGCGTGCACAGTTCGTCGGTGCGTCACGCCACATTTCCGCTGTGGTCGGCCGTTCTGCCTAGTCATGCGGGCTGGTCGCGCGCGGCGGAGCGCCGGTGTAGGCACACGGATGCTATCAACTATCCGGTGTGTACGCGCATGGCGTACCAGGGGTGGCCGTTAGGCGTTGTCACGCTGTGCTGGCACAATTAGGGCGGTCACGCCGGTCAGGTCAGGTGTGCGCGTGGTGATCCTCGGAATGGTTAGACGGCCCTCGCTGAGGCCGGTCTAGCCTCGAGACAAGTCATCGTGAGCCGTCTCCTATCTTGTTTGGCGTATTATGAACTGATGATTAAGTACGATTTGTGGAACAGAACAGATGACGATGTTTTAACAAAAAAAAAACATCTGTGGCACAATTGACTGTTGTGAATTTTATTAGCGTAGTTGGATGTTATTTTCATTGCGTGCGACAGCATACTGACTATGCTTTATGCTAGTTACATGAAACTATGTAGTCACTGTATGGGTTGACACTTCTTGTTTATAGGCGCTGTCACAGTGATAATAATTTTAGATGCCTTTGTTTGCTTGCTTTTTTGTGGTGAGAGGGCAACTTTATTTTGTTCGCATCCAAACGCATCAGTATTGTTTCTGGAGTAGGCGAGCCGACGTCCACTTCTATGAAGCTCGCTTATTTGAACGTTGGTGAATCGCTCCGATTGGGCCAATCCCGCTGCTGGTCGATGTGATTTCGATGGCTGAGGCTAGCAATCGATGCTCAGTCAGTCATGGTGTCAACACAGACACGCTTTGGGCTGGAGCCTCGGTACTTGTCTGATTCCAGCAGTGGAAATGATCGCGTGGCGCCGTTCGATGGCTAGTCGATCCTAATTGTACATGCTGGTGGTGCTCCCAATGTCAGGGCACTGGGTAGAATTGTGACAATACCGATAGAGCCGTGTCTGCCAGTGCCACAAGGGTGAATTCACTCACTCATTCAGGGCCAATGGATCCCCTTATTCGACAACACCTTCCCGTTTTGGGCTCACGGCCTCCCGAACCAGGCAACCGACCAGGCGGTCAGGACTACCTGAAATGGTCACCCGGCTGGGTAGCCTGTCCCTCCGGTGCACACTGCAAGTGCACAGTGTGCACGTCCTAATGGAACGAGCTCGAGCCCCGGCCTGCGGTAGGGACATCTGGCGGCACTGACTCCCCGACCTGGGTTGTGGCCAGATGACGCTGTGGTGCAGGTCAGCCCCCTGCCCTGATACACCCTGTAGCCGAGCTCCGGACTAACTCCTCACTTCCGCCGGCAGGTGTCCCTAGTGGACGACGAGGACCTGATTCAGGTGCTGCAGTACACCAAAACCACCGCACAGGAGGTTCACGAGAAACTGCAGATCGCAGCAGAGATGGAGAAGAAAATCAATAAAGGTGAGCAGGGTGGTGAACGATAAATAAGATGCTAATGACGGCTTCGTTATCTTTGGCTTGCTGGATTGTACCTATTCAGTCAAATAAGACTATTTCAGGGTTATATTTCACGTCCATACTGATGTGATCTAAACTAAACGACCCGTCATCTTTAAATGGTGAATGATTGTCTTGAAAACGATGGTATTCTTTGTCCTATGTTTTATCCGATTGTTTGACCAGTTTGTGTGTGTCCGCAGCTCGGGACGAGTTTCGTCCGGTGGCCGCCAGGGGATCGATCCTCTACTTCCTCATCACGGACATGAGCGAGGTGAACGTCATGTACCAGACGTCGCTGAAGCAGTTCCTCGGACTCTTCGACCAGTCCATGCAGAAGTGAGTTCGCCGCAGACTGGTAATGAATTGCCGAACGGGCCGAAACAGGGTTTGCTGTTCGATCTGTTGACATTTCGTTGGCTTTACTGAGATAGTGATTTTAACATCTTGCAAAGTCTGCAACACTTTTTTTGCTGTTACGCTGCTAAAAAAAATGAGAGCTCCTTCCAAACCTTATCAAAATCTACATCATTCCCTTCAGAGCGGAGAAGGGCGATAACACGACGGAGCGTATCCAGAATATCATCGACTACCTGACCCACGAGTTGTGGCGCTACGGCTCCCGCGGTCTGTACAAGCAGCACAAGACGCTCTTCACGCTGCTGCTAGCCATCAAAGTGGACATGCAGGCCGGCAAGATCACCCACGCCCAGTTCATGACCTTCATCAAAGGTGACGTCCTAGCAAATCCTTAAGTTCATGACATTCATCATAGGTGACTCAGCTACACATACGATTTATTACCTCTATCAAAGGTGACCGAGCCGAGCCTCCCGGTCAAAGACTACCAAAGGTGGCTGAGTTAATCCCTTAGGTCATGACATTCAGCAAATGTGACTGACAGCTAGCAACTAGAGGGCATTAATCGTGGCGAGAGTGATTATGGTAACGATAATTCGTAGCTTTGCTGCTGCGTTGGCGACTGATATAGTGGACGTTTACGAGGCCTCGATAAAGTAGTTTTAGGCTGAACATTGAACAATGATATCGAATGACAAGGACTAATCTGGAATAAGTAGAGAGAAATGTTTTTCTTTTATAGGAAATATTGACCAACACTTTTGCTGTCCCCATTGGTAATTCTCCTTACCTACAATCGTTCATGCACGTACAGTCGTACTTAATTCTATTGGCGCCTCGTCCACTTCTTAGCCTGTGCGTAAGTAAGTAACTTGCGTCTACCGTAACCCACGTCTCCCGCGCCATTCAGGCGGAGCATCGCTTGACCTGAAGACGGTGCAGCCCAAGCCTTGCCGCTGGATTCTGGACATCACCTGGCTCAATCTGGTGGAACTGTCCAAACTCAGTCCTTTTGAGGACCTCCTACAGCAGGTCGGTGACCTGTCAAAGCCGTCGAACCATTTATATTGCGTGTATTATTGTGTGTCTGTCTTTCTAACTAAATTGAACATTCACATACGAGTACTTTGATAAGCAGAAGTAAATATGTTTTGCGTTAAGTGTCAATCCTTTCGGGAGGGTTGGATGGCATGCAATTATTTCCGCACCTCTGGCTGTTGCCGTGACGTTCTCTGCTGACCGGTGTCTGCTTTGCTGCGGTGAATCACCCTAAACCCTCCGCCCTCCGCCCTTCAGGTGGTGAAGAACGAGAAGGAGTGGCGCGCCTGGTTCGACAAGCAGCGTCCCGAGTCTGAGCGGATCCCCAGCGGGTACTCGGAGGGCCTGGATCCGTTCCGGAAACTGCTGCTGATCCGCTCCTGGTGCCCGGACCGCACCCTATCGCAGGCCAAGTCGTACTTCGCAGGTGAGCACGTGCGCTCTTGGGAAGAGGGCACGGTAATTATGTTGCGTAGTCTGTAACTGGGTAGGACTCGACAGTGCGTCTTCGATCACTGCGAAATGCTGTATTTGAGGGTAGAATTTTTTAAACAAATCTGGCTAGTCTTGTCACTTGTCAGTCATAATGAACGGCTGCACTACCTGCACCTGGCGTAGTGGTAAATCGTCCGTAGACGGCCGTCCTCGGTCGTGTGTTACCCTGACCTGACCTGACCTGACCTGACCTGACCTGACATAACCCGCGGCGGCGGCAGCCTCTCTGGGCAGCCGTTTCTCACAGGAGGTGGTACTGGACCTGGACGCCACGTGGGGAGAGTCGGACCCCCGCACCCCGCTCATCTGCTTCCTCTCTGTCGGTGCCGACCCGTCGTCTCAGATCTTCAACCTGGCCAAGGCCAAGGGCGTAGGTCAGTGCTCCTCTGCGCCGTACTTGCAGAGGCTGTGGTACGGTAGCGCCCACAATCGATATAGGATTTTGTTGATTTTTATCAATTGCATATTCACGTCTACGATTTTTGCCAGGTGTCACTCAGACCTTTTTTAGTACTTTACGGAGCTGTGAAGCGTAACCGCGTTGAAATGTAACCATTATCTCATATGCTCAGCCCACTCCACACATCATGCATCATAAGACCTCCTTAGGCTCTGTTCTGCTCCGTTGCAATTAGACGCACCTGACGTCAATCAGTAACCGTGTCGCCGAGGGTCGTCGGAAATGGACTTGTTTGTCGGCCGGGTTGCCAGGATACAGCTGCTCGTGAGACTAATTCTGTCGTGCACTGCTACCTGAAAAAGATAGTTTCTATAGCTTCAGTGTGTAAGACGCTGGTGGCAGTTCTTTAGACTTCACGTTATTTATTTTCTTGACGATTTCTTTTTCAAGTCTTTTCATCCAGTTGCACTTAGCTGCCCGACATATGTCTAGCCTTAGCGTGTTTCGATATTGATCAGGTTAGCCACTGGTCCATTTTTCGTAGAGCGATGTGTTTTGTATTTCTTCAGATTCCACCGTTAAGCTCAGTCATCTTTTTGTTGGTATATGTGCCCGTCATTTGTGACATGTTTCGGCTACTAGATGTCCTTTAACTTAAAATGTCAACTTATCACTAAATAAAGTACGTGTTTGTAACGGGTACACTGTTATTATGATGATGTGGGTAAAATTGAACCGCAAGCCACGCCGAACGATTTGCTACGGTTGCAGTTTATACACAGATGTTTATACCTTGTTCATGCGCATTTACCTATCAGTCGTTTCGCCAGACTGGCCTTCTATACTTACTGCACTCTGTGTATTGTGTACCTACATGTAATTATACATAATCCAAGACCGTGTATTGCTCAGTGTATGATAACCCGTGCCCCGCTGGACAGGTATCGAGTCGATCTCGATGGGTCAAGGTCAAGAGGGTCACGCACGGCAGCTGATCAGTGTTTCCATGGAAACGGGCGCTTGGGTGCTGCTCCAGAACTGCCACCTCTCGCTGCACTTCTGTGACGAGGTAACCGGCTCGGGTGGTATCGAGGTCGTCGATAGTGATGTTGATGAAATGACGTAGTGGCTAGTGATGCTGAAATGATGTGCCTGTGTATTATTTTGACAGTGTCAGAAACCGTGTTCGAGCCCATATGCTGTTCTTATTTGTAATTAGTGTTGGCTGGGTTTCCTCTGCTGGTATGCGCTTAATTACCGACTTTTTGGTTTCATCGATGTCAGCTTCTCTCAGTATTCCCCTTTCCTCATCCTTGACATCAGGTAGGCTGAAAATTCTAGCACACCCGCCGTCCAGCCACGGCTACTCACTCGGTTGGTGATAGCGTTTTGCCATTTAGAGCGCACTCCGTGCCTTGCGGCACAGCCTATCTACAGGCGCTAGACGGTGCTGCCACCTAGGAGCGGAAATCGCGGCTCACGGCCGAATATGTTAGCACTTGAAGATCGACAACTATAGAGCCTATATATGGGCAGAAAATTGTGGAATCCTCACGAGCATATCACGCCACCGATGGGGGTGGACACCTAGAATGTTAAAATGCATTACAGGGGTGAAGAACGGGGCTGACAGCCGACAGCCAACCTATGCATTGTCGGTATGGGGCCGACTGGACGGTAAGCGTTTGGCATCAGGGCATTGTTTAGTGTAGGTTTGTTTATTTGTTGCATGCGTCAGCCACACATACCGGCTGTTCAAAACCCATGCTCCAGGCGAGGCTCGAACTCGCAACCCCGGCATGACTCAGCACTGCCGTATAAGTACCGTGCGCTAACCGATTGCGCCACTGGAGCCGGCCGATGCTCTTTCGAAGGCTTGTCTCGCCGGCCTGTTGCTTGATGTTCTCTGGTCAGAGTTAATCGATAGGCTGGATTTCAAACGCGGTCGGGTGTTGTGCTGAAACATGGGTGGAGCTAGCTTACAAGTTGATCCGCCGTCACAAGCGGCGGGTAGCGAGGTACATATAGTGGCGTCACGCAACAGAAATATTGGACGATGGGAGCAGTCGTCGAGTAATTATTAAAAATAATCCATTTAAATTGGGACGAATAAATAAATTTGAACAGTAAGTACAGCAATTGAAATTGCTGGAAAGTGAGGCATACATACATCACTAAAGCTCCAAAGTTGAAGATGCCTTACAGCGCGGCTACGCCGCTGGTGTTTTCCCCTCCTCCCCGGCGTGTGATGAGTGTCCCTTTCTGTCCCAGATTACTCACTACACTCCTATCTGTCGGACAGGTAATGGAGCTGGTACAAGAGACGGAGCCGGTGCACGCCCAGTTCCGGCTCTGGATCACCACAGAGTACCACGCCCACTTCCCCATCAGTCTGCTGCAGGTCAGTCAACAGAGCAGTCACATCAGTCTGACAGGTCACAGAGTACCACGCCCACTTTCCCATCAGTCTGCTGCAGGTCAGTCAACAGTCACATCAGTCTGATAGGTCACAGAGTACCACGCCCACTTCCCTATCAGTCTGCTGCAGATCAGTCAATGTCACATCAGTCCAACACTGTGTTGGCAACACAGGTCAACATCAACCATATCACTCACACTCGGATCAGTCCACTACATGTCTTACGACCCTTTCTTATCCATACGCAGGCGACGGGAGAGATAATCTCACCGGGACACGCCGGGCGTTGCCTTCCGTCAACTCCTGATGTGCGTGTTTGCCCCCAGCCCCCTCATCGTTCCCTCCCTAGTCAGCTCACAGTGGGGGACAGTCGCGTGTTGTGTCACCTCACCCCATCCTATCCCCTGGGACACGTGTATCGTGTGCGTGCGCCCGCTGCGTGCGACGGACGCCTGATAACGGCTCACTCACGCAAGGACACAGTTTGGCAGACGGTGGCAGCTTCAAATGGCCACCAGAGATCATAGGCGTAGTTCTTCGTCGCTGATCGATCGAGGTTTTGTCATATGCTTCGGCGTTTTTGTGTACAGAACTTGATTGCTTCGCCTATCGATGAATATCCGTATGATTGAAGTTTGATGGTCGCGTCTCGTAGACTTATAGACCATCGAATTTTACCGATTTGTGTGTGTGTTTTTTTTTTTTTTTTGACGGGATAGATATTTCAATATTAATCACTGGCTCTACCACAAAAGGATAGCAACCACGATGCCGATATAAGCGCTAGCCCAAATATCACAATATATGCTACAATATTTAATTATGCTGTCTGCTTGTCTCACAAAACCAAACTACCGTCATGTTGGCTATACACACGATAATGCAGTATACACTTGCGTTACGTGGCCAGTGACGTGGCCGAGGCCTTTCAACAGCCGCTGTCGCGCATATCTACGAGAAGTTCAGTTCTGAGCTCTGCCTTCACCTCCACCCCCTCCGCCACAGATGTCGATCAAGTTCACCAACGAGCCGCCGCAGGGCGTGCGCGCCAGCCTGCGGCGCACGTTCGCCGACATGTCGCAGGACCTGCTGGAGTACACGGCGGCGCCGCAGTGGTCGGGCCTGCTGTACGGCGTCTGCTTCCTGCACACGGTGCTGCAGGAGCGGCGCAAGTTCGGCCCGCTCGGCTGGAACGTGCCGTACGAGTTCAACCAGGCCGACCTCACCGCCTGCATCCAGTTCCTGCAGAACCACCTGGACGATGTGGACCCGAGAAAGGTGAGAGGGTGGCGGGGAGACGTGGACCCCAGAAAGGTGAGAGGGTGGCGGGGAGGTAGATCAGGACGCCCCGGCTGGGCTCCTTCTTCTAGAACGGCTGGCATTGTCGCGGTCATTTCTGAAGGTCTGACTCATCCACACCTCGTTATTTTATGACGATTATGACGAGACGTTGCTTTCAGGTGAACCTACGTATAGCTGCTTACGTGGGAAAGTAGAACCATGCTGCAAAGTATTTCCGCGAAGTTGAACATGACAAAATGTGATGGGGCTTGTCCCGATGGCTTTAAGTGGAAATGGTCCTTCAAATCGCCATTATAATAGTGGTTGGTATTGTCCCGTCTGGGGAGATATAACAGGCGAATTCTACCAAACAAGATGTATGAAAACAAATGCCATTCAACTTGGGTCATACTTAAACCGGTTGTAGTCGGTTCCTGCGCCAATTTATGCCTTGGTCAATCGACCTATTGGTCGCCATTACCTGTAGGTTTGTACAGAAGTGTTCAGTTTAATTTTTATGCTACCATCTTGTTTTGTAGGCACAGATGACATGATGTTACATCCTGATCCCGACCCATCAACATAACTGGCTGCTGTCTTTCCTCCCGGCCTATTGGTCATCTTACGTAGACGGTAACATCCTGGTGGCTCCTGGAATCACAGCACATTTTCCCTGCCGGATGAGACGTTCGGCCTTGGCCTATGATTGGCAGACGCTCACAGCTCGTGCATTGCAGTTGTGAAGGTGAGCTTCTCTCAAGCTCTACGTGAGCTTGAGGAAGCGTGTGGTCAGTAGTCACCAGCTGCAGCCTAAACAATGTGAACATCCCCCCCCCCCCCCAGGTTTTATCAAAGTCTATCATCTACTACTATCTTTACTCCTTGTCTATCTACTACTCTGTCTATCTCTATTCTCTATAACTACTGTATACCAGCGGCAGCCATGTACTGTTCTCCCTTCAGGGTGTCTCGTGGCCCACCATCTGCTACATGCTGGGCGAGGTCCAGTACGGCGGTCGGGTCACCGACGACTTCGACAAGCGTCTGCTGGTCACATTCACACACGTCTGGTTCTCGGAGCGGCTGGTGCGGCCCAGCTTTGCCTTTTACGAGGAGTACCGGGTGCCGCCGGGTCGCAGTCTGTCGCAGTACCTCGAGTACATCGCCGGTCTGCCGGACGCCGACACGCCGCAGCTGTTTGGGCTGCACGCCAACGCTGATATTACGTCAGTGGCTGAGAGAGGGGGTGCACGGAGGGGTCGGAGCTGTTTCTGCACCGCACGGAGAGACTGCACAGAATGGGGCACCCTGCTATTGCACGGAACGCGTCGGAGCTGCTCCTAAGAGAGCGCACTAAGTGGGCTCATGGAATGGAGCGTTCAGTCGGTGCACGAACACGTTGGATTCACTTGCACACAAAAAAACGCACGATTCGGGACTCCAGTAGCACAGAGTGTATTTACTGCAGTTCTGTGAGGAAGCACGGCACAGCATCAATATAGTGCAGCGTTCAGGGTGAGGCAGCTTTGTTGCACAACGCGGATGAGAAAATGCGATATCATAAAGCACAATCACTCCGCTGCACAGCAGAGTTGAATATCGCACAGCTCGACGGAAACTAAGGCCCGGCGCATGTAGAATACTCTTATGTCGACAGTCGTGTACCGATAAAGAAGAAACCGGAGAGAGCCCGAGTTGTGAACAATGACTTTTGAACACTTGCAACAGCTATTGACAAAACAATTCTGGCCCGGCTGAATGGCGGCCAACGAAACCATGTTGAATTTTATCTCTCCCTGCATGGCAAATATTTCGTTTGTATTGCTGAGCTTGCTGCACTACCATGGGCACTCATCTGCACCGTTTATGCATGACGTGTTTCTGTGCAGTGTGCATCGTATCACCTCCACGTGTAAACATATCGTTGCCGCTCTGTTTTAAAGTTTGGTGACTATTTGAACAAGACGGCGTTTAATTTGTGGATGATGTCGATTGTCGAGCATGCGTTTTTAGTCAAGCTGCCGCTTACCTTACTAAGATTGTTTACGTTCAAATCTCACCAGGCCCCGTTTTATCCCATCTGTGCTTTGCCCCATTCACACAGGTACCAGATTAACACGGCCAAGGGAATCCTGGACACGATCCTGAGCATTCAGCCGAAGGAGGGCAGCAGCATGGGCGGCGAGACCAGAGAGGCGGTCGTCAACCGGCTCTGCCAGGACATGCTGGCCAAGCTGCCGTCGGACTACGTCGGCTTTGAGGTGAGGCTGGACCTGAGGAAGGGATAACTGAAGGGCAGGGTGGTGAGAGTGTGGAGTTGTGGCATATCTGAGGGAAACTGATCATTGACATGATGTCAGTGGTATTCCTCGCAGTTGTTGATGTTCTCTGGTGCTATTTCCGTTTTGTTGTTTACACTGCATTCCGTCACTGGACGGATGGCTCTGCCCCGTCTCACGACACACGGAGAACTGCCGTGCGGATAGTTAATCGGTGATCTGTCGTACTTTCCCAGGTTCGGGAGCGACTGCAGGCCCTCGGGGCCCTGCTGCCCATGACGATTTTCCTTCGGCAGGAAATCGACCGCATACAGCAGGTAAGTGCGACCGATAGCACGATGTGGGTGGGTGTGAGAATATATGCTGTTCGCCGTGTCCGTCGTCGTATAAACAATGCTCTTTGCTGAGACGATTGCACAAGAGTAAGCCGTACATATTGATGGCTTGTTTGTTTGGGGTATTCTGGGCTACGGCACATAGCTACTTTCTTCTCTTTGCAGTATGTTTTCTTTTTGTAACTAGCTGGCTAGGTATGTTGTACATATAATTGTATCCAAACGACGCATCACTCTTCGTAGATTTCGTAGGCTATTAATCAATTTCAAAGGTTCAGCCAGACGTTAAATAGATTTGTTGTAACGCCCTGCGTGTGCTTGATCACTTGTTTACGCGACCAATGACTGGTTTCTCTTCCGCCCCGCTACAACTAAAAACATCAGCCGGACAGTTAACCAACCTTTTTCGAACATGACAGTGCATGATAACGAGTAAATACATGACATTGCTGTTAGCAGACCAAAGTCTACAGCGCTCTTTTTAGTCACACGTGGCGTAAAGTTGATCTAATCTGCCCTGCCCGCAGAGGAGGCAATGCCCCTCTGCATTACCGACTGATGTATGTCATAAACACTCCACACAAGTGGAGCTCCACCCTCGCAGAGGAATCTATCATTGGCTGCCACTGGTATCGCGCGACTAAACGCCAATGGGCAGATTTTATCGGAACAATGCTAACATTGTCCTGCTATGCGCACGACTCGAAAATGGCAGGCCGATAAGCTATCTCGGTATGTGGTCTGATAAGTCAGTGCTAGTCTTTGTATGCCCCAGACGTTGTTCTTGGTGTGGTAACATTTATGTAACTAATCCAGCTACGTTGATCTTCCGTTGTGCGTGTATTTGGGGCCATTTTACGACATCGTTGCATATTCACTGTCTTCGGAAAATGGTCTATCAAATAGTAAGAGCGGATGTAAAGTGTATGCAGACCGCTTAGGGCAGTAGATACACGAGAGCGCTGAGAAGTACCGGTATTTGGTGATCTTCTCTCCCCTCCTGGCGAAGCCCCTAAAGTCTCCAAAACCTTCCGTCACCACCAGGTGATTACGGCCGTTCGTCAGACGGTGTGTGACCTGCGACCCCCCTCCCCTCCCCACTGTCCCCTCAGGTGATTACGGCCGTTCGCCAAACGGTGTGTGACCTGCGGCTGGCCATCGAGGGCACCATCATCATGTCACAGTCGCTGCGGGAGGCGCTGGACGCCATGTATGACGCCCGCGTACCCTCAAAGTGGCATAAGGTGAGACAACAGCGACGGGAACCCCCCCCCCCCGCCATCGTGAGGCTGGGGTATGATGGGTAGTGCTGTCGGCTGTTACTCATGTCAGTTCGGTGGCAGGATGGGAAATAACGCGACTCGTGCAAAGCTGCGGGACCTTTGGGTCTGCTGCGCCAGGCCGTAGTAGTTGCAGCTTCTGCAGCGTTATAAAATGGTTTGTGTGAGAGTCCATGGGAATTGAGCCGCCTCGTCCGGCCTCTGTGGGAATCTCTGTTGTCCGGGGACTGTAACCCGAATGGTCTTAGCAGCTCAGTTCCCATAGTGATTGTCGAGATTCGTCAAGGACGACTCTGTCTCGGCAACCGTGGCTTGGCACTCGCTTCGTGTGCTTATGTGTCATAAGTAAAGATGCCTTAATCTCGTATCTGCACTGCATATTGTGTCTGCATGTGTGCTTATTTGCGTAATAGCTTTGTGTCGTTGTGTGTGTTCAGACTAACCTCCTCGGCCCCAGATCTCTTGGGACTCGAGCACGCTGGGTTTCTGGTTCACGGAGCTGCTGGAGCGCGACAGCCAGCTCAAGGTGTGGCTGTTCAGCGGCCGGCCCAAGGCCTTCTGGATGACGGGCTTCTTCAACCCGCAGGGATTCCTCACCGCCATGAGACAGGTGGGCTCTGCCACGAGAAACTTTGAATGCTATCTATCTAGTAGGCACCAATTGGTATGCTCCTCCAAACGGGTAACTACCAAGCTTTCTTTCTTTCTTGCACATTCTACGTGCGATCCATTCGCGTTTCAATGTCTCCCAGACCTTCTCCCCTGGCTCGCAGCCGACTCCTGTAACCCCATGTGACCTCCCCAGGAGATCACGCGCGCCCACCGCGGCTGGGCCCTCGACTCCGTGGTAATGCAGAACACCGTGACCAGCTTCACCTACGAGGAGATCGACGAGCCTCCGCCCGAGGGTGTCTACGTGTACGGCCTGTTCCTCGAGGGAGCCGCGTTCGACCGCAAAACTGGCAAACTGGTCGAGTCTAAGCCGAAGGTGGGTAAGAGTGGCGTGCTTGGACTTCTCGTACACTTGTCCGTGGTCCCAGCCTAAAACGTATTTCGTGGAACGATTGAGACCGTCGGCTATGTTTTGATAGCTGTTGGAGCCGGCACTTGCGAGTCCTGTATCAGGTTTATACTTGTTTTGATAGCCTGGCTATGCCGTCAAGTGCCATATAACGTGCCTGAGCCGCACTTAGCTGTGGCGTGAGTTTAAAGCCATATCGGTGATTCAGCTCCAATGCATTTCATGGAAGAATGCGTCTTCAAACAAAGCATCATTGTACAATGTCATACCCCAAAATGGGGAAACGTTTAACTTTTCACCAACTAGAGTTAATATTATCTTTTGCTTCTTTTTTTTAGTGGTCCTCACCACTCACTACCGCCAGGTGCATCCCCCCCCCTCCCCCACACACACACAACAATTCCCCCGTCTCGCTGTCACCGAGAAATTACAGTCTTCCCTCCTTCCCTTCCGCACAGGTGCTCTACGAGCCGATGCCCACCGTTTACATATACGCCATTTCATCCACGGGCGGTAAGGACCCGCGGCTGTACGAGTGCCCCGTCTACCGCAAACCATGCCGAACCGACCGCACCTACATCGGCAGTATCGACTTTGAGACCGAGCTGAGCGCCACCCACTGGACACTGCGCGGCGTGGCGCTACTCTGTGACATCAAATAAAACGGCAGAGGGAGAACTGTAAATATGTTAGGGTCGCAGTGCAATACAGTCGTTGGGTACGGTGAAGCATAGACAGACTTTTCGAGCTTGTCGAACTAGTCTTATGGGAGTTGCGGCGTTGACAGTAGTGATATCTTGAAGTGATGTACGGAAAAAATATAGTTAACAAGACAACATGTATCTGAATATCTGACAAACAGTAGCTTGTCTTATCGGGGCATATTATTAGTTTATCACAAGAGGTCAATTCTCAGCAGTACGTGATCCACATAAATCCAGAACGTTCTAGTCGGTGTGCAACGTCGAGACATCTGTGAGCTTACTTAAAAGGAGTTCTCGGAACGTCAGCCCTTCAAAGTTTGGGTTGGCCCAGTGGCTGGGTACGATCACGGTACGATATTCGGATCATCGGTGCAGCAGGGCCTCGTTCGAGTAGTTTCTGGAGTGTTCTCCGTCCAAGGATGTCCGTGAAACTGATCCGGATGTAGAGAGGGATTTTGGGGAGCTGTTCCGTGGTCCCTATCAGCTGACACTTCCTCGAGCTGCGCCGATAGTCGATAGCTGCTGCTGTCACGTGAACGGTGGGCGTGTGTGTTTGTGATCCTCGCCACGTGTTAAATCCATATAATAAGAGGTAATAGATATAGAAATAGGCAGACGGTTTATTTTAGTTTATTTTAGCCGTTCGGAATATATTATATTTGCGCTCTCTTGAACGCAAAATAACTATTCGTCTAGTGAAGAATAGAAATGAGTAATGACATACCGAGTGAATGTTACCAACAAATTACATGTGCACATAAAGCGAGTGCTCGCATATACCGCATGTAGTGGTAACTAACTAGGTGTCCTTGTATTCGCGCTGTGTTACGCAGTGCCGCCGTGCCACGTATTTACATCACATATGCTTTCGTATTATTTTCAGTGAGGATGGTGATTTTAGAGTATTGTTGGTGATTTCCTAGTCACAGCTGAGAGCTTATGTCACGCGCTTTGCGTGTTGTGTATTGCGTGTGGTCTTATGTTGTCACCTAGTTGACGTAACATTTGTAATGTCGTATTGTTCGGCTGTGTCTCTGGCTCGTTCTCGCGGCTACTTTTTGTTTATTTTTTCTTCCTATTGTACCGTAACAAAGACAATAGGGCTTACGTTTGTCATTGTGTACGGTGTATGAACATGGAGACATTCCAACCGAGCACGTGCCATTTGGCCTGTCCCCAAAGTTACCGATGATGCTGACTTGTCGACATGGGTAGCGGAACATACGCATATCGCTCGCTTATTCCGTTCCCAAATGCCTTCGCTTGAACAGAACAGATCAAATATATTTATTGGGCTCGTTGGAGCAAGCTTCTGGGTAGGATCTGTGTATTGATTAGTAAGGCCGTGAACCAGATAATCCCTTAACGCCAAGTGTCACTGGTCACTGGGTCACCACTCACCAGTGCCAGTGCCCTCGACTGTCAACAGCTCCCGAGAAAGGCTGCAGTTCGTTTGTACGGAGTGCAACACCAGTGGACTTTCAGCCGCCGGGTGGATTTCGTCCACTTGTGGTCGAGAGCGTCGGCTGTGGTACGGTGAAGTGACCCTCCACCAGCTTTGCTACCGGCCGGGGTCACTGCGTTATCGGGGATCTCGATAGATCTGACCACTCGGGTCGCGGCTGATACGGGCTGAGAGCTGCCGTATCGCCGTCTATATAACGATGCGCGGCCTCAGACGGTCAACTGAGCCGGTCACGCACAGGTAAGAGAGGTCACGGACGCGTAGAGAACTGTCAACAGGAAAAGGGTCGACGTTAACCCGGCAGTTGCTGGGGTATTTCCCCACCCACCGTTTGCTGGGGGGGGGGCGTTAAACGCCCCCAGCCGATAACTCGAGAACCAATAGGCGCAGCGAAACGCACGAGGCGGCAAACGAAAGAGCGCGACGAGACGCTTCCGATGAGTACTTTAAAGTTGAATTTTGAGGTCACAGGTCGGGTCAAGGTCAGGTCAAACACCTGAAATCGGGCTTTCAGTAGCATGGACTTCAGGACTTCGCAATGGGCGCCTCTCGCCATAAACTCTGTCAAAACGGTGCACAATCCATCTTATAAGGCCTACAAGAGTGTCAGCTCCATGTAGGGGTCAGTCAAGCATAGGTCAGGGTCAAGGTCAGGTCAACCGGGTAGGCACATATCCCCGAAAATCAAAACTGATATTCGCAGCCTGTGACACATGTTTTATAGGTAATTTGGGGCGTAGAACACGATGGTGACATTCATTTTATCATATGTGTACGTGTTGGGCTCAAAAAGTTCAATTTAATAAATTCATGTATCATGGTCGTGAAGTTGTCACGAAAAATTGCCAAGATTCAGTTCAAGATTATGGAAAATGCGGAACAATAATCAATAATCGAAGATAGCCATTTGATTGATCATGGTATTGGCAGTCTAATGGCGTTTACGGCATGTCTGTATGTTTATGCTGTGATTTTATATGATTTTTCGAACATATGCCGTTTTTGGTCGAAAACTCAGAAATCATGACGTCACTAAAACCTCGATATCTCAAAAATTTCCCGACCGATTTTTTTGAAACTTTGTCACAATAAACTTCAATCAATTCCCTACAGGTACTCAAAAATTGGCGCGCCTGCGGCGCGCCGTTTTTATGCTATGGCCCGGCGAAAAAAGTGGGGGCGTTTAACGCCCCCCCCCCCCCAGCAACTCGCGGGTTAAGTGTTTGTTTTCTGTTGATTGTCGCTCATTACTCGAATGTTTCGGCACTGGCTTCAGTTCTGACTTCTGGCATATTCTTCAGCTTTATTTGCAGCATTTTGTGTCGTAAATGAACCGTTTTTGCTCGTCATTCGCCAAATGCGTTGAAATGCTGCTGTCTTGTGCTCAAATTCTTAAATTATCACTCAAATTCAAAAACGATTTCATGCATCGCTCCAGGTAAAGGATGACTTATACAAATACTCCGTACGTTAGCACTACTCACCACTGTATATTTGCATCACCACAGGCTCTCCCGACCCTGGCCATGTATCTGTGGAGGTGCGCGCTGCTGCTGGTGGTGGGGGTGGCCGCGGCCCTGGCTGCCCAGCCCCGCGGTAGTCCGCAGGAGCTCGGAGGTATGCGCGACGGCATCCTTTTCAGATGTGGTGTAGCTTTGTTATTACACTTATAAGATTTTACTCGTAATATAATGCCGCTAATTCACAGCAAACACAAGAAGATAATACGCATACCGAGATCTACTAGACCATTATTTTCAGACACTTATGATATCAGCCTACTTGCCGACTAGGGATCTTAGTATCTTCCATTGCCGATACTAAAACAGTCAAAATCTCTCTGACAGTTCAGAACATTGCTGTCTTTCCCTTCAAATTTCTTAACCCTCCAAATAACTCCGTCTGTTTTCGTGTCCAGTATGGCCGATCCGCACGGCGGACGAGGGCCGCGGCCGGCGCACGTGCTACTTCTCTGCCTGGGCGTACAGCCGGCCCGAGCTGGGCAGCTACGACGTGGAGGACATCCCTGCCGACCTGTGCACCCACCTCATCTACTCGTTCATCGGCGTCAGCAACGTCACCTGGGGGGTGCTGATCCTCGACCCGGAGGTGGGTGGTCAGCTGCGCCCGGGGCACGTCACCTGGCAGATCCGCTCAGACAACGCCGTGACGGGATGTCCGCTGCTGCTCGAGCTCGGTGGTCTGACGAGGGTTTTACGGGACGGTGTAATTACTGCTGACGGTATCAAACATTTGGAGCCCTGTAAGGTAAAAAGGGTTGTGGTCAGTTAAAAAGAAGGCAAAAGGAAAACCAAAGTCTAGGGATGTTCTGCAATTTTGGCATAGGTTCCCAGCTTCCCACGACGTTCTAGAATCCGTAATCAGTCACCCGCTGCATCCGCTCTCATCGTCATCTCAATTATCGTAACTGCGCTACAGTGTGCGCTGTGATTCACTAAGTTCCTCTCCCCACCTAGAATGACCTCCCATCTCCCCGCAGCACGACGAGGGCGCGGACGGCGGCTTCCACCGGTTCACGGCTCTGAAGCAGCGCTACCCGGGCCTGGTCACCACAGTGGCCATGGGCGGCTGGGGAGAGGGCGGCAAAAAGTACTCCGAAATGACCTCCGACCCCAGTCGGCGCAAGTCGTTCATCGCCAGCGTCGTCGGTACGGACAATGACCGGCTCTGGCAGTGCTGGTCTTGCATGGGTTATCGAGGTCCCTTTCTGTGTTAATGCATCCGTTTTTACCGTTTACCTAATTATGCAGTTATTGATTGGGCACACCTTGCGTTTTCCTCAGCATTGCCCGCATTGAAACACTACTGGGTGTTCACTAAAAATTGAGACAAAGTTTAGCAGGCTGTATCTTCGGTAAAAATGTACCGATTTAAACAAACTAGGCATTGTTGTAATGCACATTGCATCTGCTGCAAGCCGTAGAGCGTCAACAAATTTGCCTGATCCCTATATGTCATTTTTTGAACATTTCCTTGGAAGTGTTGTCACAAGCTCTGGCACCAGTGGACCGTGATGTTGGCCAGTTGATGGTGGTAATGAGCAACGAGCTGATATTTTGTATGAAATCGAAAGACACCAACATACGTTATAGCCTTAGGCAAATCACATTAGATACTCATTTGTTAAATTTCAGGCGTGGAAAATGGCTTATCGGGTCTCGTTCCAATGGGAATTTTTACATCGGCCGGGGCCCTCAAGGCGCCCCTTGGTTAGTGTGCTGGCGCCAGGTCGGACCAGAAAATCACCTTCTGTTTACATATGTCGTTCTGCATGAACCTCTAGTGCTTAATAATACACTTGGCTCAGAAATTATCATATTGTAAAGGACCAGTCTGGAGGAATAAAGTCGAACTGATGATATTCTCTGAAATAACACATACACCACGGCATCCAGCGTTAGCTTGCATGCTGACACTTAAATGGACGTTAGCCCTTGTATCATCGATCACATCACAACAGAACACTCCATTGTCTAGTTAATTGTCGCCCTTTAACTAAAAACATGATTTTTCTACCTTAAATAGTTTAACTTTTTTCTGCATTTTTTGGCCCCTTTGGACCATAGCATATTTACTTCTCTGGTCTTGTGTTGTTCCCAGTCGCTTCGAGAAATCATTTACGCCGTTTGTAACTCAGCCTAGTCTCAGGTGTGATATATCTTCTTCGCTTAGGCACAGTCAATACCTTACTGATCAGCAGCATTGCGCCGTGAGGTGTCAAAAAGCCCCTCCACGTGCATTTTCGGGGCCCCGACCATTTCTTAGGTTAATATCTTCACATTTACACCACTTCAGCTTTTCTGACTCCCACACCCTTTAGAACTTTCGTTCCACTGTACGGTATGTAACTAATTTCGACATTTTAAGTTTTCATTAAGTATTTGTACGTGCCAAACTCTCCCATTGACGTGCTATTTTGGGAAAGCCTGCCAATGGTCGTTCGGTGGCCCTTATTTGAAATGACCTCCAACGCGACTGTTTTCGTCACTTGCATAAAATATGTGTGCTCTATATGATGAGAAATGTTCCTTTTATATCTATGCTTAATTGCATCGTAATAGCTTGCTTCGCTTTTGCTGTGCAGTCATCCAAAGTTTGTGTCAATTTTTAGTGAACACCCTATAAACGAATAAAACTTCGGGTAAAATTATAAAGTAGTTACGATACCATGAATGTATCCAAAATAAAAACCTAGACACAACATACAGGGTGTCCCATAAGTTCGTTCTCACCTAAATTTTACGTTTTTATGCTTTCTTGCTTAAAGGAAATAGTTCACTTTTAACATGGGGTTTGGAACTGGAATAGCAGTTTTGTTGCTTGCGCTGAGACTAGCACAAATCAGAAGCTTTTACGGCCCAACGATCACCCTAGACGAAGATATTCCATTTTTCGTTCCGAAAAGAGTGCCTTGCAGAGGAATGCGTGCCTTGCTGAGGAATGCAGTCCCGTCATCGTCAGCCAATCAGAATGCTGCTTACAGCCGATGGGTTTGTCCTACGCAATATGATTGGTCAACGCGTAATAAGCTTCCGCGTCAAACATTATTTCATATAGAATATAGTTCTTCTTATACTAAAATATAGAAAATAATCCTTTTTACAAAAACGTTTTGTTTTATTTTCTGATCATTTTGAGCATAAAAAACATAAATCCATAGCAAAATACTAATTTCAGGAAAGTGAACTATTTCCTTTAAAGGCACGTTGACATTGGTTCGTAACTGAGCTTACATGGTTGCCATGGCTGGTAGAAATATGCTCCACAGTAGCTAATTTCTGTAGACAAAATAGTTTTTGCTAGAGAGCCCGCTTCCTACAGAGACGGCTAACGCCGCAACATAGAGGTCTCCGATACGGGTACGTCTCAGTATTTAGTCAGCACGTGACCATTCGTGACGATTGAGGGTGATTGAGGCCTACCAGTCTGTAGCCAATATCCATCGCTAACTGGACGCACAGTCAGCAAGTGACGCCGATGATTTGTTGGGAGTCAATCACTGCAAGTTTATCCTCTTTCTAGCCAGCCCTCAGGAATAAGCCAAGTGGCCAAAACTGTGTGGCGCCAAAGTGGCCATCAAAAAGGTCAAAGGGTTAGAAAGTTGGTAAACAGACTTTTCAGGATGGATTACCAGCTGTCTAAGAGTGTTCTTTCGGGGTACATAACTCAAGGTGACTTAAGCTTTGCTTACCGGAGGGCACAAAACAGTCAAAAACGTCTTAAAATGGCTAAACATGAGTTTCGTTATGCCTGAGGCTAAACAAAACTAGAGGGCTGATGACATCAACCAGGTCATCTGGACTAACTAGTCCACGTTCGAGATGAAACACCCGTCCAAACCCGAAAACAACCCCATAAGGGCGAAGGAGGAGGCCTTCATTTCGTCCCGTTATGTTCCTATGCAAAAGGCCAGGGTCACTGTGTTGTGGGGTTATAACTTATAGGCGTTCTGGAGTTGATCAAGTTACAAGTGACAACCCAGAAACAGTTTTGGGAAGCAGAATGCTTTTCCAAGAACATCTAGGAGGAAGTTCAGCCCTCAAGCTGAACTCGAACCGCGAGTATGAACACATTTATAGAGGAGAAAATGGCATCCGGGAGGTCGTAGGCCCATCTTCAGGCAAGACACGGTGCATCAGTGCACAGGTCAAGCAAAGCTTAAAAGCGGTGCAAGGAGACTGTGACAGGCGTTTGTGGCAAGATCACATGCCAGGCACCTCATCGGATCAAAATTTCATAAAAATTTGTTGGTTATGCTGAAGTTGAGGCTCGTCGAAGCGTAGCGCTGTTCCAGCCTCGAGGAGCTCACGGCGCATGTCAAGTCAGTCTGGGTTAACTTTAAGCCTGCTATGCAGCCAAACATGCCGGTTAGCATGCCGCAGCATGTATTCATGTGTTTGCCTATTAAATGGGGAGCACATTGAGGGGTCATAAATATACCAAAACGCAATGTACTCTGTTTCACATGCAAACATAATGTGAGAACGAACTTATGGGACACCCTGTAAATTTCTGATTATTATGCTTTGGCGGCGCAATCATAGCATGTTCACCTTCCATCGGCAGCGTTCATCAAGGAGTACAACTTTGACGGCCTGGATGTGGACTGGGAGTACCCAGGCGCCTCCGACCGAGGCGGATCGTTCTCGGACAAGGCCAACTTCGTCTCATTCGTGAGTATCCACTCGGGTCATCAAGTGTCCATCTGCTTTGAACATGGAAGGAAATGGAAGGAACGTGGAAGGAAATAAGGCTGTGCACGGCTCTAGGTCCTAGACCTACTGCAGACCCATCTCTTCAATCGTATTAATAAGCTTGCTTTGCATACGCGGGGCCGGGGTCACTCACGTTTTTTTTACTCGGACCTGAATAAATCGCCCCCATCTGCAGGTCTTGACTCCTTCACCTCCCACCGAGGCTCGTCGACCATCCCCTCTACCCCTCTCTCTCTCAGATGCAGGAGGCGCGCGCCGCGTTCGACGCCGAGGACCCCTCCTGGGAGCTGACGATGGCCGTCGGAGTGCCCGAGTTCCGCATCGGCGACGGGTACGACGTGCCGGCCCTGTGCTCGGTCGTCACCGCCGTGCACACCATGACGTACGACTTGCGCGGCAATTGGGTCGGATACGCGGACGTGCACACGCCGCTCCATATGAGGCCCGGACTGGATCAGTACGCCTACGAGAAACTCAATATTGTGAGTGCATGCAGGAGGAGGAGGAAAAGGGAGAGGAGGGGGCGTCTAAAGGGCTATAGACTCTGGGTATTACGGAAAGGAAGAGTGAACATCGACACTGCTATTCTGCTGCATATGTGCCTTTCCGTCTGTCACTCCCAGCTAGGCGCAAGTTTGTTCTTACTGATGTATTTTCTGTACTTTTCACGATCGCCGGAAAGTGTGACCTGGCACAGCTACCTCCCCCTTCCCCACATCCTACGTTTTGGAGCTGACCCCTCCCTCTCTTTTCACCCCCAGGAGGATTCGATGCAGGTGTGGGTGCGCCACGGCTGCCCGCAGAGTAAACTCCTGGTCGGCCTGGCCACCTACGGGCGCACCTACACTCTCAGCGACCCCAACAACCACGACCTGGGCGCCTGGGTGAAAAAGTGGGTCGGTGGCGGCAACCCGGGACCCTACACCAACGCCACCGGCTCGCTGGCCTACTATGAGGTATGTGGGGGCACCCAGGGGTGTTCTGACCGGGGGAGGGGTAACCCAGGGATGTATTAGGGTGATGGTGACCGGGTGCCTGTAGGAAGACCGTGGGAGAATGTGGGCTGTGGTTAGTAGTGCTGTGAATTATGAATAGAGGAAAAGGGATCTGTGTGGGAATACGTGCAGACTAAATGATTTATGGGTTCCGAATCAATAGTGGACGAAGGATATAATAAGGAAGGGGAGCGACTTCAGAAGGAAGTCCAAGTCACCCTACCCCACCATTTGTCAAAATGATGCCCTATAAATAGCGTGAGAACATGCATAACATCACCACCGCTCTTGCTGCCAGATTTGCTCCACGCTGGACAGCTGGAACCAGGATTACGACGACATCGGCAAATGCCCGTTCGCCTACAAAGGTAACTAGTTTGAAAAACCTGTGATTTACCCTGAACGATCGTTATTTTGCAAACGATGCCAAAAAAAAATATCTTTAGATATAAATAAAACATGTTACAAAACGCATCGGCTCGTCAGCATACTCCCATCAGCATAGATTCACGCCCGCACCTTGAAGCGCTGATCCCCCCGCGCCCATTTCCCTCAGATGACCAGTGGGTCGGGTACGAGGACCCGGACAGCCTCAAGTTCAAGACGGACTTCATCAAGGCGAACGGGTTTGGCGGCGGGATGGTGTGGGCCACCGACATGGACGACTTCCGCAACCTGTGCGGCCGCGGCGCCAATCCCATGCTGCGGCTCATTTACGAGGAGCTGAAGGACTACGTGGTACCGCCGTCACCCACCCTGCCGCCCACCACCAAGGTAAAGCTCGCTCCGTCTCTGCTCTGCTCTCCCCGCCCCCTCCCTTCCCCGCTCCCACCGTGCCGCCCACCACCAAGGTATGGCGCGTCCCTTGTCTGCACACCTCTGCTACAATGCCCCCGTAGCCCAACGACTGCCTGCCGGCGGATGGCTTACCGCAAGGGCAGTTGGCTTACCGCTGTTTCGTTCTATATTCCTCGACCCCCGTCTGACCTTCCTAACCCTCCCGTCGTCAGCAAACGTGGTACCCGCCGGCGCCGACGCAGCCGACGCCGCCTCCGGACGCCGACTGTTCGGGCGGCTGGGAGTACCTGCCGGCCCCGCGCTGTGACCAGTACTACTGGTGCTTCAACGGCGAGGCCCACCTGGAGACGTGTCCGACGGGCCTGATCTGGGACGAGACGCACAGCAGCTGCACATGGCCGGGCACGGCGCCGCCCGCCAACTGCACCATGCCGTCAGCCGCCGCCGCAGTCGCCGCCGGGGATAAAAAGGTCAGGGGGAGTATGGAGATGAATTGGCTTTAGGCGTCATACTCAGTGTTCACCTTATAAGTGCTTCACCATTTGATCAGCGAATATTAGTCATTCATTCCCGGTACTTTTGCATTGTGCACGCCCTTCTTTAAGAGAAAATATGCTTTATAAAGACCGATTATTTCCCGATTTGTAGATTTTTTCTCGTGCGCCGTTCCTTCACTCAGACCTGCCGTATGATTTCAGGCGCCCACTGGTTCGAAGATCGCCGCCAAGCCGCAGCTCCCCATGCCCCTGGCTAAGAACTCGATCAAAAAGGCCGCTGCTGCCGCTGCCGAGGCCAAGCCCGTTCTGAAAAAGGCCGCGTCTGCCGCTGATGGCTCGGACGCCGCCGCCAAGCCCAGTAAGCCCGCCCCGAAGACGGCTCCCGCTGCTGTTCAGACCAATAAGGTCCCGCAGAACGCTCCCCCCGCTCAGGACGTGGTGCCCAGTCACGCGTAGTTGCGGTAGTTAGTGGTCTCTGCGGCCAGGCTACGGCTATTTTCGGTGGTGTTATTGGGGTGCGTTAAACGATCGTGCCAAGTGCAAATTGCCAGTGGGTTTGTGACGTTTCGACTCGTTGTGCCGTAGTGTTCGAATGGTATGGAGGCTTCGAATGATGGCTGCGATAGAAATTATACGGAAGGTACGACAAAGGCTGCCGAAGTGGCTAATAAATAGTGGTTGAAAAGAGCTCGGCGTAGTACCTACCCTTCCACCTAAACAGCGTCCGTAGTATGCATCCGTGTGGACTGGTTACAATCGTTTTTTCCTTTCGGCTGCAGCAGCGATAGCGTGAAAACACGATGGTTGGCTCCAACAACAAAGGAACATAAATTCGTACACAGGAATTTGAGGCGTTACTCCGGCGTGGAATACGATAAACGGGTCGACGCCACGGTCAGTTCAAAAACGGAATCACAACCGAAAACCACAAGACTCGTGATTCTAATAATGCATTACGAAGCCGTGGCCCACACCCACATGCTTGGCATGCACGAACTCACCCAGTGCAGCTGGATCGGTTCGGAGTCACTTCCTTCCAGGCATTCAGTCCGTATCATAGGTGAGTCAGTCATTGATTCACTCACGTGACTGACAGACATATGCTATCAGCCGTGACCACAGGCGCCACACTGCAGTAGGAAGTGGTGGAGCGATTGAAACCGAAGCTCAGATCATTTCCCATTGGGTATCGATAAGACCTTGAATGGTTTGTAACGCTGCGGTAACTGCTAGTTAGTAAGAGGCCAATGCTATGAGTGGGTGGCTTCCTGGAAAGTGCCGTGCATTGGATTACTGGCAGCTAAATGGGGAGTACGCAAGCAAAGCTTGACTACATTCGGGACAGATGAATTCAATAACTAACTAACTACCCATTTGCCGTCCGCTTCAATCTGCTTCATATCGTCCCCTGTCAGAGTGTGCTATCGTGAAACATTACCCGCCGCTGCTCGCATTACACGGTCATTTTCCTCTTCTGTGGGGCGTCGGCCACGGTCCTTAATCATTTGGCACGCTGCCAGCCGCTCGGCCGTCACCGGAGGCTGTTCGCGGGTCACGTGACCATGCCCTGCGGCGCTTTCTCCGGTGACGTGATGGCTGCGGGCGGCTGAGAGAGCTGTGGTGTCGGGGTGGCATGGGACGGGGTTGTTGAATCATCGCGACTCGGTGAGGTATCGATGCGAAGTGAAATGGTGTTCGAACACGATCAAGACCTACCTATGGTATTGATTTGATTGATAACAGAAGATTGATCATAATTAATTAATTCAAGTGATTGGGAAGTTAATTTCATTCATTGTGAATCACGAAGCATTGAACGGCACCGGAAAATCGCCTTAGCACATCTTCCAGGTAAGTTCAAATTGTTCGGCCAGTCGTTTACCTGTGAAAGAGGCAGCATGCACTTCCACAATGCACATTGTATTCATTCATGGATAACTTGCTGCTGCCGTGTGAACTCCCCAAGGCAGGTTGAAGCACGCATAGAAATTAGAAGTGCAGCAATGTTTCGCGCAGGTTGAAAATCTTTTACAGATATGATGTTTTAATTAAAGTGTAATAGAAATACATTTGACAGACCTACATTTGAGTGACAGATCATTTGTATGAATGTATCTAATTGTAACTTGTAATAGGGCAGGAGGTTGGCATAGGCGCGGCTAATCAGGCTACGTCAGTGACACATTGCGTGTTATAAGCCGCACGCGTGCCGCCTTCAGCTCGGGTGTTCCATTATCGACACGGACGGACCATAACCGCACCATTACCGCGTCAAACTTCAGACCACCTCTGGAAATTGGGGCGACCCGCGACTCTACCAGTCGTGTTCACACGCACCGTTTGCTGCGAATCGCTGACTGTTGCTAATGGAGATTGGAGAGCTATCCGCGTGCACGCGCGTTTCTAATAGAGACTGATCATCGGGGATGTGTGTTTCGTGCTCACAGAATGTGAAGCTGAACACTCGGTGTGCTGTAGCCCGTGAGAGGGTGGGTGGTCGATGCGGTGGCTTACTGTAGAAGAGGCTATCAAACGTGGCTCGTCGTTTATTTGTCCCGTGTTGGTGTTTACCGTGGATTACTCACTCGCTCGTAATCACAAACAAACTCACGGAACAAACGTCACGGAAGTGACGTTATAGCGATATGGTAAACACGGTCCGGACTTTTTAGCCGCAATCCGCGATTGTCGACGACAGGAAGTCAGGATAACTTCACAGCGCATTCACCCGGCACATCAGATGGGAACTCAATCTAAAGCCCTAAACCCCAGAAATCCAAGCCGTCGCTCGATTAACGACTTTCCTCTAGCGTCACAGATTATAATCAATCACAGTTGACCCGTCTGTGAGTCGGGAATCGGGCAGCCATTTACCGTGGTGGCCCGGGGTGGCGGCAGTGACCGATCTGGCCGGTTTATCAAGCTGTTTCGCCGGGTTTCGGGTAGAGGTTCAAGGCAAACGGACATCACGTGAATGCCGCCCGGCTGGCCCGGAAAATGGACACAGTCGGGGCGCATTATTCACCAGAAATGGCCGGCCACGGACGGTTTGAATAGCCGGGCCGGGTCGGCCGGACTGCCCGACCCGACCGACTATATAGGGCCTTGGCCCGACCGGTGGTATTTTCTTGGTGGTAGTTATAGTCTCCGATGTGCTGCTATTGTCTTGCCCGTCAGTTGCAGTCTCCGATTTGGTGTTATTCTCATCTTGTTTGCAGTTTCCAATGTGGTATTGTCATGTCCGTCGGTTGTAGTCTCCGGTGTGCTGTTATTCTCATGTCCGCTGGTTGCAGTCTCCATTGTAGTGTTATTCTCACGTCCGTTAGTTGCAGTTTCCGTTGCAGTCTCCATTGTAGTGTTATCTTCATGTTCGTTGGTTGCAGTCTCCAAATTGGTGTTATTTTCTTGTCCGTTAGTTGCAGTTTCCGTTGTAGTCTCCATTGCAGTGTTATCTTCGTGTTCTTTGGTTGCAGTCTCCTATTTGGTGTTATTTTCTTGTCCATTGGCTGCAGTTTCCGTTGCTGTCCTACTCTCATGTCCGTTTGTTGCAGTCTCCGGTGTGGTGCTTTCCTCGTGTCCATTAGTTTCATGCAGTCTCAGGTGTAGTACTTTTACTATGTGCCTTAGGCGCAGTCTCCGATATGGTGATGCTGTTATGTCCGTTAGTTGCAGTCTTCTATATTTGGCTATTTTCATGTCCGTTGATGGAGTCTCCGATGTGTAATTTTATGTCCGTCGGATGAAGTCTCATATGTGGTGTTATTCTGATGTTCGTTGGTTGCAGTCTCCATCGTGTTAGTCTCATGCCCGTTGGCTGCAGTCTCCGAAATGTTATCCTCATGTCCGTCAGTTGCAGTCTCCGATGTAGTGTTATTCTCGCCTGCGTTGGTTGCAGTTTCCAATGTGGTGTTATTATCATGTCCTTTGGCTGCAGTCTCCGCCGTGGCCGGTATTATGTGCGTTACTTGTCCTCCATTTGGTGTTATCCTCCTGTCCGTTAGGTGCAGTCCCTTATATGGTGTTATTTTCATGTCCGGTGGTTGCAGTCTCAGATATGGTGTTATTTTTATGTCCGTTGGTTACAGTTTCCGGTGTATTAGTCTCATGCTCGTTGGTTGCTGTCTCCGAAATGTTAGTCTCATGTCCGTTGGTTGCAGTCTTATATTCGGTGTTATTTTTTTTTTCGTCAGTTGCAGTCTCCGATGTGATGGTATTCTCTTGTCCGTCAGTTGCAGTGTCCGGTGTGGTGTTATTCTCTTGTCCGCTGGCTGCAGTCTCCGATGTGGGGTTAGTCTGATCTTCGTTGGTACTGGATGTAGTTTCCATCACTTCTGGTGCCGGAAGACTGATATTACAAAGGCATATATCATCTGATCGCTTCGGTATGCGCTGATCGAAGCCTTGCAAATGTAAAAACCTAATAAATGCAGACTGTCGAAACACGAGCATCTGGAAAAAGCAAAAGTGCATGTTGTGCAACGTACCGTGCAGGCATTTCTGTAGAGCACGTGGAGGTTGAATGACAAACAACAAGTTCGGTAGCATTCGTCAGCTGCCCCCTGTCGTCGGTGTACGTTTGGTCGCGTTGTTTTCGGTCGACTATTGAGCGACGGCCAGTGAGTTAACCCGCGCCCCAGTGGCGGTCTCCGCCAACTTCGCCCTAGTGGGGGGGGGGGCATATGTTACCACCCACCTCTAACTCAAAAACTAAGAGGGCTAGAAAGACGCGGTAAAAAGCAGTCGATAGCTCTTGATGCGTACGTTTGAAAGTATTTCGGTCATTTTTCATCTTAGAGCAATATTGGGGTCACCAGAGGTCATCAAATGTCAAAAGTTGCGAATTGTCATTATATTTTTCAGAAAACATGCCATTATCTCAGGAACTATGATAGCTAGAAAAACGCTGGGAAAAGCAATCGATAGCTTTTGAATTCTTCTTTTGATAAGGTCATCATCAAAAATGACCTCAGGTCAACGGTTTAGCCTCCAGAGGGCAAAAACTCCAAAAATAGCTGTTTTTAAGAAAAGTGTTTTTCGACAATAACTTTTGACTAAAACAAGCTAGGTCATTTCTAATGCCAGAATCGTGTTCCTCTCGCCGAGACGCGTCGAATGAACTATAATTTGACCTTGAAAGGTCAACTTCAAAATTTGACCTCAGGTCAAGGTCATGACCTGACCGAAAAAGGTCATGTTGCATATCAGTCGATGCGTCTCGGCAAGACAAACACAATGAGGCCAACCCCAGCGTTCTATCTCTTTCCAATCGAGAGTTATTGGCAAAAAACTTTGTAGCCTCAAATGACCTCGGATGACCTTTCAAGAGGCTATCAGCAAAAAAAAAGACACCTTGGTCGTCACGGGTGGTCCAAATCATTGTTATCCTGAAATATTTGGGCTGTTCCTATGCGTACACACGGATCTAGAGGCATTTTCGTTTTTCTCCATTGACTTATAATGGAAAGGTCACGCCACTGACCTGACCTTAGGTCACGCATATAAAAAATCCGAGATATACAAATTGTAGGCATCCATAACATCATGTAATCCACCAAGTTTGAAACCTCTCTGACAAACACTGCAGGCTGGACATGATTGCAAACTTTTTTTTAGGCTTGGTCAGTTAACTTGACCTAGTGACCTGACCTGACATGACCTGGGGTCAAAAATTTCACACATTGTCCGAAATTGATGTACCAAAAGCTACCCCAAGCGGCGCGGCGCTACGCGCCGCGGTTTTTTATTTATACGAAAAAAACGCGACAGGGTGGTAACATATGCCCCCCCCCCCCCACTGGGGCGAAGGTTAACCGATCAGTGATTGGTGCACAAGGAATGTGAAATTGGACGCTATTTGGAGCCGCTGACTGGACGCGCCAGTCACGCGATACCGATAGCACGCTTGTGACACGTACCGATTGCACGATTACAGGGAAAAACTGCGGCTGTATGACCGACTGGTGCTGTGGTGTCGGGGTCATTTTTAGCCATGTGCTACTCATGCCGTGCAGACGTGCGTGGTGCGGCTGTGTCGGGACAACTCGCTGCCGTCAGAGGTTAGACTGCGATCATAATGGAATGTGACAGCGGTCAGTGAGTAAGGGAATGAGAGAGGACGGGGAACTGAGTCATAAAATTTCTTGAAGATCGTTAGTGAATTAGATGCCATTGAGTTGAGTTAATATTGTTATGATCTGCCATCCTTTAGATTTCCTCGTAGACTCAGCCGTGTGGTGTATTGACCATTGAGTCATTTATTGGGTTATTAATGTGCTATTTATGCATCACTCTTCCTTGTTCAATGGACCGCATGGTTACACCGCACTTCCATGCATTATGCACATACTCTCTGTACAATGGACATTGTTGTTTGTTGCTGACGCTCGTGATCCAGCACACAGCAGGCGATGCAGTGGTAGCCAATGACGGGCGGGATTCCTGCACGACAGGGCGACCATGAAAGCCGACCGTTTTTCGTTTACCCATGTGTAGGCTAATACGCTAGGCAACGTGACAATGGCCACCTGAACACTGTGGTTCATTGATCAATGCACTATAGTCGCCTTAGATGCGGTTTCGGCTTTCAAATACAGATGGGTCGATCAACGAAAAATTAATGGATTATACCATTTAGCTCGCACGACCAGACCGAGCTATTGAAACTGCGACTGCGTGCCTCCCGCATCTGAGTCCGGGCCCGCAGCAGGGGGAGGGGGGAGTGTCTCCGGTGCGGGTCGCTATAATCCGTTAAGCCTCGTATCACGACACCGTCGGTATAGGCGAGCGCCGCCGCCCGGCCCGCCGGTCTCATATAGCGGACGGTCGCTTACCGGCGCCGATCACAGACACAGACAAGCTCCAGATTAGTCCACCAAGAACGGACAGACTGGTATGTGCAGGGCCGACTGGCGTGTGCTTATGTAGATTAGGAAAATATTTTGGTATCAGTGTGTCCCACCCAGGATTGTGATAAGAAGTAGAGCTCAGTTGTACTTAGCTGCTGCATAGAATGAGCTCTTTGTACTTAAATCTTCCCAGCGTCATTTTCGGCAGTAAAGCAGCACGACGTTGGTCACTGGTGCCCTATATTCAGAACTCTGGTAATATCGGGGCACTTATTCATGCCAACAAAGAAAAGGCTAGTATACCCCGCTATAGGGCACCCCGGGATGAATACGTAACCCAGATCGGACAGCCAACCAAGACGAGATTTCTCTGTTCTGCACATTGCATGCATGTGCTCTCCGTCTCACGACGGATAGAACAGATCTGACTTATCAGTGGAAGCCGTGTTGTGCGGGTCCTGGGTCGTTGACCCAGTGCTGGGGCTGAGGTGGCGTGATGTTTCGTCCCAGCTCCCGTCATGTTCGACCGGGTGGTAACCGTCCTGATTATACCCGGGAGGTTCTGTGAGGGCCAGCCATTCAGGAGAGAAAATTTCCACCGGGTTTGGTTATCATTTTCAGGTTTTAGGATGGTTTGGACTGATTGTTGAATAGTTGGGCATTATATGTTGATATGTCTATTTTTGATGAGTGGGCATTCAGAAGGGTAAGCTGACATAACAAAGACATTTACGGCTGACGTCTGATAGTGCGTGACCACCTTTTGCAATTAGTTCTATAAATCTATCGTCTTGATCCAGTACTTGTCCCGGTCCGTCTGCGGCCCGTTCCAGACCTGCCGCCGGTGCTGACAGTAGTCGTCAATCATCGGTCCTCGTTCTGCCAATTCCGAGCCGAACTGGTGGTGGGCGGTGGACGGGCTGAGCTCCTGCCGATCAGGCGCTCTGTGATCAGGCGAGTTCGACGCTGATCACTCCGAACCTCCTCGGCTTGTCGGTAACCTGTCAGTGACCGATCGGCTACCAGTCCGGTCCGGTTAGGGTAATTTATTTCCGGTTTGGTCCGTCCTCCGGAGCCTGTCCTTTCGTCCGACGGCCCGTCCCTGGCCGTCTCGGCGGGGCACCCTCGGTCCGACCAGGCGCGCCCGGAGAGCGTCTTTTCTCATCTCCCAGAGCCTACGGCGGAGAAACGAGGTGCGCCATGACTCACCCAGGTGCGCTCTCTGTGACGTCACCCGCTTCTGACACACGCCGTGACGTCACAGGCGTCTCTCGGACTCGGCTCGGCGGCTGCGGCGACCGTCCGCGACGCCGGGCTGTGGCGGCTCGGACGCCGCTCGGACGCCGCTGGCAGCCACAGCCGGCGGAGCTGACGCCTTCGCGATAACACCGGACCTCCGGTGTTCCGTTTCTGCCAGGACGTCGAGGACACACAGCGCGACTCACAGAGGAACACACACCGCCCACCGCGGAGCTCGGCGCGGCCGGCTCGCTCGCCGATGACGTCACAGCCGGTTACGCGAGGCAGGCGCGGCCTTCCGGAGCCGGTTCCAGCGACCGGTGACTGGGACCCGACCGGCCGGCCAGCCGAGGCCGACGCCGCAGTCGGCCGGCAGCGGGCGCGCAGGCTACACGCGCCTCCCGCCCCGCACGTGAGTCATGACGAGTGAGATGTGTGTGATGCTGGCGGTGCTGGCGGTGGTCCTTCAGAGGGCCGCCGCGTTCAATGTGGACACCCGGCACCCGGTGCTGTTCCGCGGACCGCCCGGCGCGGCGGACGCTCATTTTGGCCTGGCCGTGGCGCTGACCACGGGCGCCGCTGAGCCCTGGGTGCTGGTCGGCGCGCCGCGTGCTAACTCATCTCTGGGCCTGCACCCCGAGATCCGTGAGCCTGGCGCGCTGTACCGGTGTCCGGCACTGGGAGTCGGACTCTGCGAGGAGGTGCTGGTCGACACGGAAGGTAATGAGCCAGCGCCGGACTTCTCCTACACGAACCTGCGGGACGGCGGCTGGCTGGGCGGCACCATCGACGCCGAGCCGGGCCCCGATGGAAGGACGGTGGTGTGCGCGCCGCGCTGGCGAAACCAGCGCTACGGCGGCCACTACCTTGGCAACGGCGCCTGCTACGTGGGAGGGCCGAGCGCTGCCGACGCTGGCTTCGAGAAGCTGGTGCCGCTCTCTTCGCGCGACAAACAGTACACAACACAGCTGGGCGTCAACGCCTACCTCTTCTCGTACGGCGAGGCCGGCATCTCGGCGCACCTGGGCTCGGACGGCCGGCTGGTGCTCGGCGCGCCCGGTGTGTTCGACTGGACGGGGACGATCGGAACGTACAGCTCACCGGACCAGGGAGAGAAGACGCTCCGGGTGCCCAACCCGGCCGCCTTCCCGGACTTCATGAGCCGCTACGACTACTTTGGCTACGCGGTTGGCTCCGGGAGGTTCCTCGCCGGAGAGCCGGGGACCCAGCTGCTGGTGGGTGCGCCCCGCGCCGCCGGCGCCCGCGGGAAGGTGTTCCTCCTCACCCTCGGAGCCGACGACAACCAGGTGTTCAATGTTATCGCCGAGCGTGTCGGAGATGATGTGGGAGACTACTACGGCGGTGCTGTCTTGGCCGCTGACGTCAACGGAGACGGACTGGATGACGCGCTGGTGGGGGCGCCCCTCACGGCCGGCGACAGCTTCGACGAGGGTCGTGTGTACGTGCTGCTGAGCTCCGGCGACGGCCAGCTTCGCGAGGAGGCTCGGCTGGTCGGTCAGTCGGAGGGAGGGAGGTTCGGCACCACCGTCGCCTCGCTCGGAGACCTGGATGGTGACGGCTACCAGGACGTGGCCGTGGCTGCGCCGTATGAGGACGAAGGACGCGGTGCCGTCTACATTTTCCGCGGAGGGATCGGCTTCGTTACTGAACCGGCACAAAGGATCGCTGCCGTCGACATCAGTGATGCTCTACAGGGTTTCGGCATCAGCATCTCGCGCGGTGTTGATCTTGACGGTAACGCGATGCCGGACTTCGCGGTGGGCGCGTACGGTAGCGGTGACGTGGTGCTGCTGCGCTCCAGCCCGGTGATCCAGTTCGTTAGTTCGCTGACCTCCGACCCGCCGCGTCTCGACATGTCGGTCAGCGAGTTCGAGGTGCGCGCCTGTCTGGCATTCAGTGGCGCCGCGCTGCAGACCGTCCGCGTCCGAGTGTCGCTGAAGATGGAGTCGTTTCACGCGCAAGGCGTCTTCCGGCTGCCGACAGGCCAGTACGCCAGGGAGGCCAACTTCACAGTGACTATGCGACGAGACCAGCCCACGTGTGAGAACGTGGCTGTTGAGATCCTCGCCAACAGCTCGCTGATCGACTACACCAAGCCGATGCAGCTCAGCATGCGGTACGAGGTGGCTAATGAGGACGGCGATCGCGTCCAGCCGGTGATTGTAGATACAGACACCGAGAAACTCGCCGCAGATTACGAGGTGGTGGAAGCAGGTGGGCTCAAGAAACGGCGGAGGAGGCAGGCCTTCGGCGGAGCACGTCCGGGCGATACCTTCTGCGCCAGCTGCCCGGTGGCCAACGTGAACCTGCCGAACCAGCGCGGCACCTCGCTGACGGTGCCGTTCTCGGTCGGCTGTGGTCTGGACGCCATCTGCCAGACCGACCTGCGCCTGCAGCACCGGTTCCCCGGCCTCAGCGGCGACCGGTACGTCATCGGCAGCACCCGGACGCTGGAGCTGGAGCTGATGATGACGAACGGCGCCGAGCCGGCCTCGCTGCCGCAGCTGACGGTCTCCATCCCCGCCGCGGTTGGTCTGCGCCGGCTGCCGCCCGCCTGTCGCGAGGGCGGCGCCGGGCGCTCCTCCGCCGGCGAGACCATCATCTGTAACGTCCGGCCACACCCGTTCTACAACACTTCTGAGCATACCCTGGCGCTGCTACTGGACACGTACGGCGTCACCGGCGATCTGCGCGAGCTCACCTTCAACGTGTCGGCCGGATCGGCCGGCGTCGAGCTGACTCCCGCAGACAATATCGCCAACATCACTTTGACGCTTGTCAACGAGGCGGATGTGGAAGTTCGCGGCAGTTCACGAGACGCCACCATCCTCTTTGACAACTCTGACGAGGCCAAGAAGGAGTACGAGCACGTGCAGCACACGTACCTCGTGTCCAAGTACCTGCCGACGCCGGTGAGCTCGGTGAACATCTCCTTCCTGGCGCCGGTAGCGGTGCTCGCTGACGACGGGAAGTATGTGGACATTGCGCGAGTGTACCCGCCCGAGGCGTTCCTCAACGGCCAGCCGCTGTCCTGCGTCGTTGAGGACGGCAAGTACCTTCTGGCGGGCAGCGAGCAGAGTCACAATGCGAACGGAGCGCATGATGGACTACGGAGACTCGACTTCGATGACCTACAGGCCGAAGAGTCGAGGCTGTCGCAGTCTGTGTCGCCATCCGCCGGTCAGTCTTCTACAGCGGCAGTGCATAACGTAAGACAGCGCTGGAGGCGGAGTGCTCAGCCCAGACCGGAGGTTCCAGTAGCCGAGTCCTCGGCACCGAAGGCTGAGCTCCTGTCGGACGATACTGACGCGCTGGTGATCGACTGTTCCCCGGGCAGTCGCGCCCGCTGTGTTCCCATCACCTGCCGCGCCGTCTCGCTGCTCGAGACCAGCGACCGAGTGACCGTGTCGCTCGAGCTCCGTGTCGAGGTGGCGGCGCTCACCAAGATGGGCGTCCGACGCGCTCTCATCTCCACCGTGGGCGCCGCGCGCATCGCCGACGCGTCTGTGTCGGCGGAGGTGAACACGCGTCCGGACACGGCGCGCGCCACCACGGAGCTACTGGGCGCGGCGCTGGTGCCGGAGGAGGTGCCCATCTGGATCGTGGTGGTAGCCGTGCTGGGCGCCCTCCTGCTGCTGGCGCTCATCACGCAGGGCCTGGCCATGGCCGGCTTCTTCCGGCGCAGCAGCAAGGAGGCGATGGAGGAGCAGCAGCAGGCGCAGCAGGCGCAGTGGCAGCAGCCGGCGCCGCTGCCGCAGCCTCTTGCCTCCGAACAGGAGGAACAGGAGGCCGCCGAGGACTTTGGGGAGGAGGAGTCGGTCAAAGATGACTTCGGGGACAACATGTTCATCGTGCCCGGCCCACCGGTCGGGAAGGGAGCGTAGTGTCGGTGCACGAACAGAGATCGTTAATTGGCTGTGATATTTGGGGCGAGGTTGTCGGTGTCTGCAGCAAATCGACAACACTCTCCCATCTTATGCTTGAAGTCAGAGAGATTGAAACGTGCATCGAGTCGAGGCCAAAACTTCAATAAGTTATTTGATGGAACGTTTTTGTTGCTATTGATATGTGATGAGAAACATGTCGCGGGAGTTCCTGATCATGTCGCTTTATCTGAGACATTCGGGATGCTGTGGAAGCGCCTTAACTTTTTCATGCAGCGCTGCTATTCCGTTTGCTGCAAATGTTTAGTACCGAAACGGGATGATGAGTATTACACCTCTGTCTGTATGACCAGATCCCAATCCACGTACTTATGCGTATTCGATTTAAGCAAGTGTATTTTATTGAAGAGACCTCATGTGATATTGCTCAAGTGTATTTTATGCGTGCCCATGTATAATGCATCACTAATTAATTATTGTCCTAGTCCATTGTGTGGCTGAAATACATCCGACGCTTCCCAAAAATAGTTATTTCTAATTATTCCAGAGACGATTTCATTTATAGCCATGAATACGTATCCAAACATCACTGCGTATTACCTACAGGCCCATAACCGTAAGGTACAGAAACAAACTTCAATAGGCCTTTCCAAACCGGCGTCGGTTAACCTCGGCCCATGTAGATCACGGTTTGTGCACTATCTCTGCATTACAATGCACTTACCCGGTGTCCGTTTTCATCCCTGGTTAGGTCACGGTATGACGGGGTGCTGTGAACTGGCACACGATACCTGATCTCGGGCCGGTGTCGGTGATCACGCGAACTGCGCGTGATGGGTGAATCAACAATTCAGAGAGGTGCACACCGCTGGAGACTAGAGGATGAGACATTGGCCACTCACTCATAGACAGGGAGATAGGAGAGAGACAAAGGGCGAGCGAGCAGGAGAAAGAGAGAGGGAGAGGTGTGAACGAGCGAGAGGGGAGCGAGATAGGAAGCATACTTAATTGGCACATAAAAGTGAAGATACGATGATACGCCTGTGTCCTTGGCCTCGAGCCCAGAAGACGAGGCGCTGGCGATATGCATTAGAGGCCGGCCGTCTCGCCCCCGCTACATAATGGCACGGGCGCTGTTTATGTTTCAGACCTTGATTTTACAACAGCGGCTCCAGGAAAGCGGGACTCGAGGGTATGATGTATGCAGGGCCAGGGAATACCAATGAATGGGGCCGTGGCATTGGCGCCATTTTCGGGCCGTACCTCTACCTGTGTCTTTGAAGGCACCGTGACCGTTTGTATGAGGATGGCTCACTGCTGTGTTCCAAACGTTTATCGTTTTCTCATTGGCCGGTCACTGTATTGTGCTGCGAAGTTCCGGAGGGTGCATAATAAGCAAGGCCTCTAAAACTACTCAGCGTACAGTGTACACATTTGTAATTATCTACATTATTCAACTGGTACTTTTTCCAAGACAAGCTATACCCTGTTGCCGATATGGTAATTGCTCCTGACATGCATTCCCGGCTATACGTCGCAGTGCCGGAATCAAACGTAGCTGACTTCTGGTCGTCCGTTCGGAGCGGAGGAGAGACCACCGCCGCCTTTCACCGGCGTGCGCTGGCACCGAGCCCGGTAATACGACTCACATATACCGGATTTTGTTTGTTTTTTTTTGTTTTGTTGGGTTAGGCCCTTTCGGTCGACAAGACCATTGCAGAGCCGGAAGGATGATAGGAATTAGGGGGAGACATTGGTCTGGGCAGGCACCCTAGAGAGTCGCCGGGGCTGAGCCCGTCCAAATGGACAGGCCGACCAGCCCCCCAAGCACTCTCTGCACCCGGCTACGGGGTGCAGCTCCCTCGGAAGCAGCGGTGCCGCTCCAAGGGAGCAGCCCGCATGAGATAAAGTTGCCTGTCCAGCCCGGAAGGGGGTTGCGGCGTGGTGGAGAAGGATTTCTGTATCCTGAGGATAGAAGCACGGATAGGTGATGACATATACCGGATCTGATAGGTGCCGTATATACCGGAACCACCACAGTCGCCGGCGCGGCCCGGCTGATTTCACCCCATGACCGGGCTGGGGCACGGCCCGTCGGCTGACGCAGTCAGGAACTGCAGCTTTTCCTGAGCTGGGCTGCCGTTTGCACAGTCAACTGAAATACATTGTGCTATAGATCAGGAAAACGCGGATATTAATTTGTGTCAGTTAGGCATAGTGATAGTGCAGCCATTGCAGCAACAAAGGTCCGATTGCGTTAAGTTGTGAACCGTTTACACACCGCCCCCAATTATTGTTATCTAAGGCGTTACCTAAGTTGTATTCAATAACAATCGGAGTAATGTTTTGAACGCAGACCCAGTCCAATACCTAGTTCATAGAGCTTACGTTACCTATCGTGAACAGCAGATGAATAATAAGTATGCTTCTCACGGCTAATTTATTTCTCATACGATGGACAGAGCATGCGTGTAGTGCGGCACAGCATCAAATCCTACACTGTTTGCATCGCACTGTGTGGTGGGTATGTGACTCATGCTGTCAATAATTTGTCGGACGATTCCGTATCAAGCTAAGCTCATTACATAGTATTGATATATGCGCTCCCATGACCATGACATTCCATAGCACTTAGCTGGCCGTGGCTGTGTTGGTCCTGGCTGTGTTGGGGCCGGCGCGGCGGTCGGTCGGTCGGTGTGACCCTGAAAATGTCAGCTGGCGGCTCCCAGGGAGCTCGGCGACTGAGCCGGAGCCGAATACCTTCCGTCTGCAGCCGTATCATGCAGTCCCGCCACTGACAATAGCCGGAGATTGACATTCGTCATACGATTTTTGGCCGAGTGTCCCTCTACAACTAATCCTGGCTGGATGAGCCGAGCGAGATTCTTAACTCCGAACCCCATTGCCTGAGCGGTGCTTCGATGCTCCATCGGGCATCGATGATCGTTTATGCACATCGAGCAGGCTTTGAATAGATCTTAACATTACGTAGCTTTTCTGCGGCTGGCAATTTTGTATTCCGGAAAATGTTAATTCGGGATAGTGTTTCCAAGTGGTGTAATCTTTGTGGCCATGCTTCGACCTATCCAGGCTCCAGCTCAGCTGCCGATCATGCTTGGTAAAATTTTCCGCAGCAGCAAATCCAACGGGTGAATATTCTCGTCAGGTGCAGTGAAGCATGCTCAAGCGTTCAACAAAGACCTGCGGGTTGGCTGGGCGGGGCTGCGGGGGCGGAAACTCCTGCACTTTGGAAACTCCCGTCGGCCCGGTGTGATCACGTCTGCTCTCTGCCACAGCGAGCAGCGCCGGGTGGCCGCGAGGTGGCAGGCAAAAATGTGCCCTGCCCCTGTGCGCACTGTAGGCATATATCGAGCGGCAGTTCTCCGTGCGCTGCTATTGTCGCAGTCGCGCCGCCATTGTCGTGGCCACCCGCGTCACGATTGTAGCTCGGGCGCCGGTCACGTCAGCACTGCGCTTTGCACGGTCAATGCGGCCGGATCATAACACGGCACCAATGCAGCGGTCAGCCGCCGTCAGCGACAGCTCTTAGCGGCGGGATAAGCCGGGGCGAGGACAGACAAAAGGCAACGCGCACAGACGTGATCTCATGTGAGGGGTGGCCTGTAGCGGGTGGCGCATAGTGACAGGGGTTGTCGTTGATGACAGTCGCGTGTTGGCCTTTGCGGTTGGTGATGACCTGGCCGTGAGAGTCTCTTTGATAGATAGGTATAGACTGCTATAGTTGCTATGCATTTATCTTTCCATTACAGGGTGTCTGTACCATATAAATCATTTTCGTGATTTCCCATATCACTTAACAATTTTTAGTCCACGTAACTTTGTTACATATGCAATAATCAATATGCATTTAGATTGCCCACTAAACTCTCGCAATCATCTAACAGCTCGTCCGACTATCTCCTTTCCTCATAAGCATTTAACGCACTCTGTCGTGTCCATATAGGATATAAGACCGACATTTTACAGACATGTGTAAACACCACCATGCCTATAGAGCTGCACTGGCGAGAGTGAAAGTGCGCGCGGAATGCTGCCAATCATTTATGACGTCACCGGTCATCGAGCCCGCTGACCGCTCCGGCCGGCGGGGGTGAGCGGCGCCGGCCAGCCGGCTGCTGCGACCGCCGGGAGGGACGGACGGTGGCCGTTGGTCGGCCTCTGGACTGATCGGTCGCCGCCGGACCGGGGAAAGTGAAACGGCCACCGCCGTGTGCCGGCACTGGCCGGACCGCGTCCCACGGCTGCAGCCGCGGCCAACGGCTGCCGAGCGGCGCGCACGGGACGACCGCCAGTGGGATACAATTACCTACACACGGTGAGAGGCGTGCCTTGACCCAGCGGCGGCGGCCGATCGGACGGACAGGACTCGTGTCCGGGATCCGGGTCCGGGTCGGGTCGGGACGGGGCCGGACGCTCCCGGCCGGCGAGCACCCGAAAAACGCTCACCGGCGCCGCGGGGGTGGCGGTGCGGCGAGTTGCGAAAGAAGGCTCTGGTGTGGGGGCACGAGCGTTATGGGCGCTATTCTGCTCGTAACGAAGAGCTTGAGCGGGTGGTACGAAATTTAGCACTGTCTGACTGCAGCCAGGCGAAAACGTTTTCTAACAGATCTCGGGGACTCTGATCTACCCACACAATGGGAGGCCCGGTGGGGGCTGAGCCATGATCGCAGGAATTCAAAGAGAAACTGAGGTTTGGAGCACCTGCAGAGGCTCAGTCGGGAGAGAAGAGAGGACGGTCCCATATCCAGCACCATACTGTGGTGATCACATTTTTTTGATGATTTTCCTCTGAGACGATTCCTTTTAAAAACGGAAACGGACTTCGAACATTTCGAACGGGCTTAAATGTATATCGGGGGGGGGGGGAAACTCACCCCTTCTTACTACACTAGGTAGGTACACAGATTAATTGTCATTCCCCAATGTAGGTATTTATCTATTTATACAATATTTATACATTTTTTATACATTTTTTAATACATTTTTTCCTATTTATACAATGAACGGTGGAAGGCTATTGACGTGTTGAACTACAATCGAGCATCACTAAATGCAGAATGTTGTTCGTAGCCCTAACCGAGCATCAGTGCAAACCACGGTACCGGAATAACGTATCCTGTTTACTGCACGGATATGCCACAAAACCGCTGTTAACGCCATGCCTCGAGCGAGTCACGCGAAAGGCACGCGAGCTTCGGGCACACCTCACTCGGCAAGCGTCGCATTTCACGGCTTGACAGGAGGTCAACAGAAGGTCAACAGAAGCTCTGCTCACTGCGTCAAGTATTTGAAAAGGCCACGGGGCGGGGCCGGCAGCCGCGGAAAGCTGTGTCGAATGGCACGCGTCCCAGCGAAATGCGCACTGTTTGATCGTGACCTGGTGTTACCAGCACGTGACACGACATTGTGCGACATGTAACTCGTGACGCACGTGACACGTGATTTTTAGTGCACGAGCCACGTGACCGTCCGTCCGCCTGCCTCAGTATGCGTGAGAATG